TAGTTCTTTGGAAACAGAACTAGAAGGCAAACCAATGCAGTAAATCCATCTATGGGTTGTGGGCCTTCTCATATCACTTACAAAATTTCATTTAAGAGACTTCTTGAAACACTCATCCTGAGATGCTTGCAAAGAAATTTCCTTCTTAAATGGGAGTTTGCTTTTTACAGTTTATTTTAAATTTGGTCAGACTGTGAAACTTGAGAAGCTTTCACTCAGACCTCCACACAAAAGATTTGAGATCCACAAGGCGGAGATGTCAAAACTGAGATGGTGGATAAATTTTGACATATTATACTGCATGTTCAGCAGCTTTTTTTCTTCAATTGACAGATTAATTATAGTAGGTATGAGCGAAAATTTATATATGGAACAAATTTACAGTTCATTAATTTTTATTGTAACATGTATCTTTAATTTTGCATTATCTCCACTGTCTGTTAATGGTTACTTTTGCTACACTATAACTCAGCACTCTTGCTGTAACTGTTTCCATTCAGGACTAAGCACCTAGATGGTAGGCTGACAATGACCATATATGCTACAAGACCATTATTTTGGCAAGCAGAACACAAATAGTAGGCATATTTGAGAAAATGTCAACATGGCTGTTCATTTGTTCAGCAGAGATACATAACTTCTATAAACCATATAGTATTTGTTACTTTTCAAGTAATATCAAAGAGCAGTTCAATCTGGGTTTTTTGATATAAATAAATGTAGCAATCTACTACACCATCTATTTTTTGTAACTTTAAAGACCACCTTCCTCCAAATATTCTACCCTGCCATTTAAGATACAAAGCCTGTTTGCTTTGTATCTTAAATTAAAAAAAAAAAGGAAAAAAAAAAGAAAAAAAAAAGAGAAAAAAAAAAGAAAAAAAAAGGTAACAAAACATTTTCTCTAGAGGTTTCTCAGCTTAATTCTTTGCAAGGTAGCTGTAGGGCCTATGTACAGAAGCATTAAGAATTGCTTTAAAATGTGGATGCACTTTTAGTTTACATTGACCAACAAAGCCTCGATTCACATCTGTTTTCTCTCTTACTGCCTCCCACATCAGACCTGGCTCAGCACTGCTACCCTCGCCAGTGCAGTATTATCTGGCACTGGGGTTTGAGCTGATCACTTTAACTTTGCACCAGGGTGAGTCAGGGTAATCACAGGCAATAGAGGCAAAAATACCAAATGAAGTGCAATAGGCACTGTTCAAATCATACAAGATTACAGATAGGGTTTAATTTGCAATCAATGTAAAAATGCAATACTGAAAACACAAAGTTAGAAGCTTGGTCAACTACACAAAGGTGAGAGCACCTTCAGAAGCATTTCCACACTACCCTTTCAATTGGATTACACAAGATTATTTAGAAATGCCTATGTATCATATTTCTAAATCAAGAAGATATTCTCCATACTATTATTTTTTGAGACATTTAATTGAGTACTCAAAATGATATTAAGTTATCTTGTTAACTACACCAAAATAGCAAAATGTTTCTAATTTGGACACCGGAGAGTTGAGCATACTGAGCTCTGAAAAACGCTGCTATTGGGTCATTTAGATCAATCTAAACCCTCAGGAGTATAATAATTTTCCCCAGCACTCTTTCCCTTCCACACACAAATCAATTCCATGCCACCTACTTTTCTTTTTCCTTTCATATCTCTTGTATAGCCCTTGCATCCACCATTAGGTTTTCTAGACTGCTAAAAAAAACACTTACTCATAAATTCCCTGGCAACAGCTGCTTCTCTTTCAGCACACAGCTCTCACAACTTGTGTTTGTGGCAGTGATGTGGTGTTTGGCTGCGTGCTACTCAGGTCAAAGCTCCCAAGAGGCTGAGCAATGGAGTCATTACCAGGACTTGATAGTGCTGGTGGTTCCTTGTGATAAATTCTTTCCTGGGAGCATGAAAAGATACTTTTGTTCAAAGAACAAGAAGTATCACTTAACACTGATGGTTTAAACCACAGAGAAGTTATGCTTTTTATTTTTCTTAATTTGTTACTTGGTATTTTCACTTAGCCTTATATCACCTAACTCATGTAGAGTGCAAACTTTCCTTTGCTCCTCTACCAACCCAATAGTTGCTGCGGTAAGATGACTGGGGCTTGTTTTTTTTGGTTTTTAAAAAAATCTGTATCTTCCTTGGCAAAATTACAACAGACACTGCAAAACTCTTGAAAAGTAGCTTCCTAAATGTATGTGCTTCATTGCTTGCCTCAAGGAAAACAGAAACATACCATATCACGTACTAGCATAGCACAGCTTTCTCACTTGCTTCCAAGCATTCCTCCTGAATTCAGTTTAATACTCCATACCTGAAATAACACTAACATAAACGTTTCAAAACAGCTTATGGTTCAGCCATTAAGAAATCATTTGGATTCCCTTGAAAACACTCTTCTTCCATACAACTTTGGGACCTTTCATGAACTATAGAGGAACAAGAGCTGTTTTAATCTTTACAGGTGGCTAATGGTTATTAAAGGCAGTAAGGAATTGTTTGAGCAAAAGAATTGGACTAGTCATGCTGTTTTCCAAAGACTGTCTTCCTGAAATAGCAATCTACAAAATGAATGTGCAGATCACACTTACTGTAACAACTGAATAAGCTTTTCTTTTAAGCCACTTTGCTGGAATTTCAATGTGAAATACTTAACACCAACATTTGCTCTACAACTTAAATCTGTTCTTCAGCTGACATCTGCTTCTGAATCATTATTCTTGGTCACTTTTAACAAACATTACGACAACTATCAGAAAGCATAGAGAAATTCTAAGCCATATAATAACTGTTTCTTCTGTTTTCCTGCATACAGATAGTCTAAAAGTACTGCTCATTTGCTTAATCACTTTTGTTTACTTTTCACTCAGGCTTGAATACACTAATTGTTGCTTTCTGCTAGCATGATCCTAGGAGAGACCGAAGACTCAGACTCAAAGAAGCTACATACACTGAAATTTAGTTAGGATTTAGATGACCAATTCCGAAATTGCAATCTCTACTGCATCTATTAAATACCTGCATAGGTCTGGGACTGCTTCACTTCACAGGCTCTTCAAGTTTTTTGTACTAACACCCCTAAGTAGCTAGAAGTCTGATGCTATATAAACACTGAAGCACCTTATAAATCTCAACCAAGCTGAAAAACTGGATCATTTCTTATGTTAGCAGCCACAGAACCGCAGCTCCTTCTCTTCTTGCCAAGGGCCCCTGATTTGGTAGAGGTGCCTAGGACATGCTTCCTAAACTGGGCTGTACAAAAAGGTAACTGCTTCATTGGCAGCTGCTTCTTTCTATTACAAGATGGCTAGGTATAGATAGGCCGCATATATCATTTTCTTCCCACTTCTCCAAGCTCTTCACACAGTAGCTCAATGAACACTGGGCCAAGGTATGGGAAGCTACAAGGAGAGTGAGTGATAGGTATTTAAAAAAAAAATAGCATTCTCCTCCAAAATTGCTCAAATTCCCAGGCCCCAGTCTTCTTTTCTGATGCTCTGGGACACATGGAAAAAAAATCATTAATACAGAAAGAAAAAATAAGTTTGGTTCTCTGAAAAGCAGAAAAAACTTCTACTATACAATACACACAGGCCCCAAGCATATTAGAAAGATAAAAAAGTGCCTGGGAATGTCTCCAGGCAAGCAGTAAAGAATAGTTCACATATCCACACCAGCAAACTTTCCTCTGCTTTTGAGCAAGCTGGCTGCAGGCAAAGTAGCTGTTGGAAAAAGCACTTGGAACAAGCTAACTCATGAACTGAGCTTGGAAACCATTTGAGGGTTGTCCAATGACTAAAACTGTACTCACAAAACAACAGTGCAGATTAATTCTCTTCTGAAACAATTTAAGGCACTGTTAATGTCCTACATATCTGGCCATGTAGTATCTGAAGTGGAACTGAAACTGAGAACATTTTGACTTTCCCTCCATCAACTTCTCACCTAAGACTAATGGTTAGGCAGTGGCTACTGTGATCTTAAATCACATATCACAAAAAAAACTTCCTTAAATACTCCTTTCCAGATGACCTGGACTACTTGGGAAAAATGCTTGCTGATCTTCAGACTGACTTTTGTTTGTCAAGAATAGTTTTTGACTAAATCGATTTTTCTGTTCTAGAAGTTACAACATTTATAATAAATTTTTCACAATACAAATAATTCAGAAGAACTAGTGAAATTTTCAAAGGCCTATCAAAAGTTTCGAAACTAAATCCAGATCTAAGTCACTTACACCTTGTATAAACTGAAGTTACTGAAGCAAGGAAAAATAAACTCATCATCTGGAAGCACTCAGCCTCTGGCAAATACCAGTAGAACATAGTAATTTGAATATCAAATTAGTTCTTTTTATTACCTTTAAATTTACCTTCAGTTTACTGTGAAATCCCAGTTCACATGAACTGCAAGGTCTTATCAAATTAACAGAATCAATCCAAAAAGCCCAAAAGCTTTATGGACTCCAAATACAACTGGCTGTCAAAGGGACTTGTGTTTCCCTGAGAATACGTTGCTTATCAAAATGAAAAGTTCTGAAGTTCTTAAGTTTGCTAAGCAGTTCTGAAAAAATTGTTCAGTGTCATTTTGTCATAGCAATGCACTTTGTTTCTTTTGACTACCTATTTCTAGAGAATTAAGTATCCCCCTAATTATTAGTGTTGCTTAGGCAATAGAATAAAAAAAATTAAAACAGCTCACCTGAAACTTCACTTTAAGTAAATATTATAATATAAAGTGTTACTTTTTTTTCTTTTTTATATATAGCAACGAAATAATTAGTAACAACAAATTTATAGAAGTGTACTTTTTTAGACTTTATGTACAAGTTCTGGCACTATTTACATTTCAATATCAAGATCAGAGATAACCATACACCCCAGAAAAGAAAATCAGAAAGTAACAGAGGTATTTTGGGCTTTAAGTTCTTTAGAAATCACTTTCTTCTGCTTTCAGTTATGAACAATATTGGATTTTAGGTGGTACATACCTAAAGGATTTCCTTTCTGTGTTGGCAACTCCACGTGACTGGAACCTGACACTTCACCAACACTAAATTTTGACAATTCTGTCCCAAGATATGTAACCTGTAAAAAGAAATCTAGATGGATAACTGATTGTTTTAATTAGTATTTTTGGGGGGTTTTTTATGATAGCTGTAGAAACTTCACTTTTCTTTTAAAACTGAGTTTATGTACTTGTAAGCCTAATCTGTATCTGTCAAGATCAAGGAGAAATTATGCTAATCTGAATTCTAATTGAAAAAAAAAACCCCAAGCATAATACAGCCCATCTGTAATGCCCTTTAAACTCTGCCGGTGTTTTTACAACAGTTGTGCGTGACTCCCTGACATTTCAGGAAGTTTGCTCATTTTTATTCAAACTACCTTTCAGTTTTCTCTTCAGTCTTAAAATCTTTAAAGCTACTCTTCCAAATCTCTTTTAGCTTACAGTGTGAGCATTCCACATTCTTTCAACATTCATGATGAGTTCATCACTATACAACTATGTAGCTACAACACTTTCTTTGCTGCTCATTCATTAAAAGTGAGAAGATATTTAAAATGCAGGCTTGTACCCCCTTTTACTTTAATAACAGTAAGGAGATCTAGATTAGTGAAACCTGTTATAGCCATTCATTATTGCTAACTTCGGGAATCACATCAGGCCTACCTTATTCCACACGTACTTCCATGTCACAGAAATATCACTTCCTAGTAGATCTTTAATCCACTGAACTGGATTCTGTAATATTTGTCCTTTACTGGTTCTGATCTTGCCATTCTTCAAGAGCGTCGCTTTATGACTAAATTCCTAAAAAAAATAGAAATAATTTCAATTAATAAATTAACAAATATAATATCTTTTAAACATGAAAAATGCCAAATCACAATATAGCTGAAAAGCTGCAGCTAGTTCTGTTTTTCTTTGGAAAAAAGTTAAGTAATCTAATGCCACTATCAAAAACTGTATAAAATAAGATGATTTATTCCACCAGAATAAGATGCTTTAGCCAATCAGAGGATAAATCTCCCTATGTGTGTTTGTCAGAACTGTATTTGTATCTTAGTTCTTCTTACACATAACAAGGCTTTGAATAAATTAATGTGCAACAGTGAACTCAGGCACTCACATGAGGCAAATCTGTGCAACAAGAAACTGCCATACAAGGTACATATATGTCAGAGTGCAGTTTCAGCAACCAGTCAAACATGAAACATATTCGCACAAAAATCTCACTTACATCAAGGGATATAACTTACGTGTTTTAGGAGGAACCTAACAGCCTTACCTTACGCAAAATTAAGTACAAACGAGCTTATTGTTAATGCCTCTTTCATAACTTTAATACAGCCCAGTTCACCAAACATTTACACCTCTCCAGAAGCACATGTTATAGCTGTTTATAGTTGAATAAGTCATGGTTTTGTCATATTGGCCTCAGTTGACTAACACAGCTAAATAATGCAACAATTAGCTCTTGATCAACTCTGTTAGAACTTAGTAAGGTCACTTATCATTAATAAGGTTAAACAATCCAAGTAATAGAAATAGATTGTTCAGAAAATGCTGAACAATCTCCTACCATATCCACCGGCTTTAAGAATTAAATTAAGACAATTAACCCAAATATTTCAACGAGCACTCAACTGAGTTTATAAGTTCACAGTTTCACAACCTAGGTCTACAGCATTGAACAACTGCATTCTGCCTGTCCAAAGCTAACCTTTAGTAATGACTGTGTACCAGCTGTATGTTGGTATATTGCACGTATGTTGTTATCAAATACATCTCTATAATGATAAAGAAGGGAAATTTACTGATCATCTCTTTGCAATGCAACAGACACTGGCTTCTAAATTTTGATTTCCATAGCACTGTCTTCCAAGACATAAATTAGTGTCATTTTCATCCTAGTAAAGATCATTTCTACATGCCAAACACTAGTACTTGCAGCACTGGGTTACAATTCCTTAGGATCCACATGCATCAAGCTGCTATCACAGACAACTGTCTTGAAAACTTACAGTAGGAATACTGAATTTTTCATCCTTTCATTTAGTCATCTTGCAGTCCAAATAGTCCAATAGTCCAAAGGAATATTACATGTTCTTCAAAAAAAAAGAAGCATGCCTCCATACCCATCGTATGGCCTGATGTACACCCTTGTGACTTATACTACCCTATGCTCCAGAACACAAAATGGCAGCTCTCAGCAGAAAAGCAGTCCTGAGATTATAGGTGTAGGAAACGGAGTTCTTTCTACATTAACTAAACTGGTGAGTTGGCCAAAAAGAACTTTTCATACTTTTATCAATATGCTGCCCTGGAAATTAACTAGCTGCGTTGGTTTTGCACAGCCTGGTTTATTGTAGCGGGGGACAGGGGGTGGGCGGGGTGGCACAGAGGTGCCTTCTGTGAGAAGCTGCCAGAAGCTTCCACCATGTCTGGCAGAACCAGTCTCTGATGGCTCTGAGGATGGACATGCTGCTGGCCAACCTGGACCAGTTAGAGGTGTTGGTAATGTCTCTGTGATAACATATATAAGAAGAAAATCAAAACAAAGTGGACACAGTTTTTTCTTGCCAAAGAAGAGGAGGAGGTGAGAACGTGTGAGGGAAACAACACATGGAGACCCCAAGGGCAGGGGAGAGGGAGGGCAGGAGGTGCTCCAGGCACTGGGGCCGAGATTCCTCTGCAGCCCGTGGTGAGACCAGGGTGAAGCAGCTGTGCCCCTGCAGCCCATGGGGATCCACGGGGGATGCAGAGATCCACCCACAGCCCGTGGGGGGGCTGCCCATGCTGGAGCGGGTGGATGCCCGGAGGAGGCTGTGGTCCAGTGGGAGACTCTATGGAGAGAGGGGGCCCTGCTTCCAGGCCTGTCTGCCTGCCTGTGGGAGGGACTCAGGTTGCAGCAGTTGTGGGAGGACTGCAGCTCATCAGACTGAAACGGGACAGTTCACAGAGAACTGTGTCCTGTGGGAGGGACCACAGGCATGGCAGGAGAAGGACTCCTCTCCCGAGCAGCAGAAGAAAACCTCGGATGATGAACTGACCAAAATCCCCACGCCCTCTCTCCCTGTGAGTGGGAAGGAAGGAGGGGTCAGGGGAGAAAGGTATTTTTTAAGGGCTTGTTTTTATTTCTCATTATCCTCCTCTGATTTTGTTAACAATAAATTCACTTTGTACATCTAAGCTGAGCCTGTTTTGCCCTTGGAGTGTTTTCTCCTGGTCCTTATTTCAACTCATGAACCCTTTGTTAAATTTTTCTCTCTCCTCTGTCCAGCTGTGGCAGGGGAGGGAAAGTAAGTGACTTTTGTGGGTGTCTGGCATTTGGCCAGTGTCAAACTATGACACTAGCTCACATCTGCAAATTCAGTCAATGATTTCCTCAAATGCTCAATACTAAGCCAGGCCCCGAGCAGCTGTTGTGAAAATCTGCTCTTTATTTGGAGGGACAGGGAAATGCTTTTGTATTAAAAAGGAGGGGTTTCTACTGTGTGCTTATAGACTCAGCAAACATGCAAGCAAGAAATTTTGCATATATTCATGCCTATTACAGAACTACAAAATCCCTGATGTCACATTTTTTTTATTTGAGGGACTTGACAGTAATTTCCAAGAATGACATTAAGTCATAACAATGATTACATTGCTGCTCCTTCCAGTATAAAAATAATGCAGATTTTCATGAAAATCAATGTAGATCAGCCAAAGATTCCACTCTGGTTCTAGCAATAAGAAATATTAGCAAACTGGTAATGCAAAGTTAAATACAAATTTTACCTATGCAATATTCTGGGTCTTAAAATTATGGGCTGACAGAAGACTTAATCCATATAATGTTCCTTTTAAACTCATGAACAGTTATCTATAACCAATGAATAAAAATATTCACTAGTAAGTGCTGAAGATGCAGATGAAACCATGAGAACTGCTATTTCCCATTTTAGTGTGTGGGATATTTTCATTTTCTGCTAATATTAATATTATTGCTATTATAATTTCTCAACAATTACCTGCAGTTTGAATTCTAAAACATTTTCTCCAGGCTTTATCCTTCCCAATTCAAGCAGATCTATCAACTGAAGTTTTTTCTTACTCTTCCATCCATATCTCACTTGGTTTTGTTCCCATTCCTGATTACCGTAACTCTGTGAAGATTTCTCACTGATATTTGCTGGAGAGTCTGTATTTGAGGAAAGATTAGTAAGCATCGGGTTGGCATTAAATGAATTCTCACTACTCTGAAAGACCATTTGCTGCAATGTATTAGAGAAGCTCTTTGTAGATGCCAATAAAATTTCTTGCTGTGGCTGCTGTTGTTGCTGGAAAGCTTCTTTCTTGTTCACATATCTGTGCAGATCCTCATGTGAAAGAATCTGCTTGCAGTCACTGGTTGTCTGATAGACATTCTTACTGACAACAGTGCTTTGGGGTTCTACAATATTTAATGTGTTGGTCATTGAAGTGGGATTTAAAGACCTATTTCTTTGTCCTACAATTGCTACACAATCAATGTCTTTTTGCTGTGAGCACTTTGTTTTAGCAGTGGAAATAGTAGGTTTGGAAGGCAATGTCATCACTTCTGCAGCATTCGTCATGTTTGACATTTTGTCAAAGGCATATTCTCTTACTCTGTTTTCAGATGCCAAAGCATGATCAGAAGCCTCCTTGCTTGTAATTGCTTCTTTATTTGCTCCTGTCTCATCCAAGCAGATGTGTGGATGCTGGCTGCATTCCTGACCTGAAAATCTATTCTCTAAAGAGACATGTGCTTCTACTCTGTTTCCATTAGGCCCGCTGGCACCAAGCCCCATACTAAATGTTACTGTATTAGGACACATGATTTCATTAGCAGTTAAACTTCGTCTTGTATCGCTTTCATGAAAAGTAACTAAGTTTGAGATTTGCTTCTCCGATGATGAATTGAACATTTGCTTTTTTTTTCTGTAATTTTTTAATTTCTGCACTAATTTTTCCTGGTTTTGGGCAACAGTCAACAGGCTCTTTTGCCTAGAAGCAAGGTTAACTACTTGTTTCCTTAGCGCACCTTTTTTAAATGAGTCTACAGAAGCCCTACAGAAAATAAAGACATCGGAGTTACTGTAAATACAAAATTAAAACAGTTAATAGACAGAACTCACAAAGAACAAGAATATGTTTCAACATTTAAAATCTGCTGACATTTAGAATTTGAACAATAGTTTTATCATGTATGAAGTTTAATGTTCAAATCCCAGGTTTATGAACAACAAAGTGCAGAACCTCGTAGTGGGATACAGAATTAAGATGCAGGTGGGAATCCCATAGAATTAGAATATTAATCATAAAAGCTTCAGAAATAGCCTTGCCTATACCACTCCTTAATTTACAGGATTTATACTCCTATACCACCTTTAATTCAAAGAATCAAAACTGTGCCTGTAGTATCACCAAGTGCTCTTTCAATACCACAAATCATAGTAGCACATTGAATCCCATGTCTCAACGGTCTACTTTGGAGCCTTTTAAAATGAGTTCAGGATAAGTTCCTGAAGGATGATACTATAAGGATTTTTTTAGGGCATACACAATAAAACATTTCATAAAGCTACCATTGTAATAATGCCACATGATCTTTAAGTAAAGAGGACAGAACAATTTAGGATGTTGCTGTGTAATCTGGGAATGCTGTACCTTCATCAGACCCTTCTCCCAGACTGAGCCTCCTTCCTGTGAAACCCCTTTCCCAGGGGACTTTACCTCCATTCTCCTGGAAGAGAATTCTTTATTTGCCCCACTTTCTTTGGTACAAGAGCCATCAACTCAGCATAACATTATTTTCTTCTAATTCCCCTCATGAGACAAGTGGCATCACTACAACTCTAGCGCCATTTTGGGAAGACAGAGAAGTAACAGAAGTTGTAGGAAACAGAACTGCAGTATGGTTTGGTTTTAAGGTGACCCACTGCAGAGATGGCATGGCAGGTAACACCATAACAGTCTCAAAAGAGACAGTTGAGGGGATCAGGACAAAGGTACACTAAGACTAGATGGCTCAGAACAAGGACAGAAAAAACACAGCTTGACAAGATTGTTGTCAGTACTGTGATACTGCCTGGTATCTCATGTGCTTGGAATACGTGTACCAGCAACATATCAGCATACGGTCAATCACTGAGTAATCCAGGACAGCTATGGGCTTTTACACAGGCCAGTGAGGCTTCCACACATTTTTCTAGCAGTTTTTGCTCTGGGAAGTTTTGTTGCTTTATTGCTATACAAGTACAGAAGAAGATGCAACTGAAGAGGTAAAGACACTGTGACTAAAATGACAAAGTAACTTACAGCCACTAACAAATATAATACTTATTTTCTGTTAATGTTTCTCAGGTAAAAGATATACCTTAGTACAGAAGATGCTAGTACCTATATTTAAGAATAGAAAGGGAACAATGTAAGTAGTATCTCTCTCTGTGTCAGCTGGAAAATGGAAAATGTGATGATGCCTCCTGATCTGCTATGGCTTGTGTGACAAAAGTTATAAGCCAATTAATTAAAAATAAGATGCTGACTATATAAATAAAAAAAGTAAATATAACGTGATTTGGAATATAGCTCATTACTACTGATGGATGGCTGTTACACTAGCTGCAGGATATCTGCAATACCCAGAAATATTTATCACTTCACTCTGGAACACAATCTCAGTCTCAATACTAGAAAACAGATAAGTCACTATTTTGCCCACAAGGATGATTTTGAACTCTAACTCCTCATAAAATCCTTAAAAAAAAAAAAGTCTGTAATATGTGCATCTTATATTTTATAGCTGTCAAAATGGCTTGTGACAGAAATATTTAATCTCTTTGCTCAACCAGCCTTTATATTTTGCCATGGGACTACCTGAAAGCTTTACGCTGCAGCTTTTACATGACCAACCAAATCCTGCCCACAAAAGCAAGAATGGAAACATCCTCATCAGCTGGCCTAGCAGCATCTGTTGAATAGGATGGTTAGGTGAGTGCTCACCACATGAACAATCTTGAGTCCTTTTCACAAGGAAGTAAAAAGGGGCCTTGTGAGAGCTAGAGTCATGAAGCTGCCAATTAGCACAGTCCATGCTCACACTAAGATGAGCAATCCTGACATTTTAATTGTTCTCACAAGAATTAAATGTCTGCAAGCTTGCTTCAAGCCGTTTCTTTAAATGGCTCTTGTTGGCCATTGGCTGAACACTCCTAATCTAGGAGTGCTGAAGAAACAAATCAGAGTCAGGGACACTCCAAGTAGTGTCTTGAGTTGCTATTACTTTCCTCCATGACACTGCAAAATGAATGTAATTACTCAATACCCCCATTTCCTAATTTCTGCTTAGGTAGCATGGCTCCATGAAGGGAAAAGTCCTGCTTATCGAACCTAATTTCCTTTTAAAACAAGGTAAACCACCTAGCTGATCAAGGGAAGCCAGGTGATGTAATCTTGGATTTCATTAAAACTTTTGATACCCTCTCTCACAGGATCCTTCTGGACAAAATGTCCAGATAAACACATCACATGATGAGTGAGCAACTGACTCACAGGTCAGGCTCAGACGCTTCTAGTGAATGGGGTGACATCAGGCTGGTGACCTGCCACAGGGCTCTGTGCTCTTCAATGTCTTTACATCTTCACTAATACCTTGGATGCAGAACTGGAAGGGACACTAGGCAAGTTCACTAACAATACAAAACTGGGAGGAGCTGTTGACTCCCTTGAGAGCAGAGAGGGCCTTGCAGAGGGACCTCAACAAATCAGAGCAGTAGACAATCACCAATCATGTGAAGTTCAATAAGGAAAGGTGATGGATTCTGCACCTGGGATGAGGCAAGCCTGAATGTATGGACAGACTGGGAATGAGAGGCTGGAAAGCAGCAACATGGTAAAGGACCTGGGGGTCCAAGTTGATGGCAAGTTGAACAAGGTCAGCAGTGCCCTGGCAGCCAGGAGGGCCAGCCGTGTCCTGGGGGGCATCAGCCAGGCAAGGGAGGGCATTGTCCTGCTCTGTTCTGAGCTGCGGCAGCCTCACCTCGAGTACTGGGGGCAGTTCTGGGTGCCACAACAGCCTAATGTAAGACATGGGAGTGTCCAAAGGAGCACCACGAGGATGGTGAAGGGCCTTGAGGGGAAGCCGTATGAGGAGCAGCTGAGGTCACCTGGTCAGTTCAGCCTGGATGACACTGAGGGGAGACCTCATTGCACTCTACATCTTCTTCTTATGAGGGGAAGAGGAGGGGCAGGCACTGATCTCTGTGGTGGGAGAAGTGACAGGACCCAAGGGAACGGCCTCAATTTGTGTCAGGGAAGATTTAGGCTGGATATCAGGAAAAGGTTCTTCACACAGGGAACAGGCTCTCCAGGACAGTGGTCACAGCACCAAGCCTCTTGTGTTTGGACACTGCTCTCAGGCACAATGGGAGAGTGCAGCATAGGAACTAGACTAAGTGATCCTTGTAAATCAGTTCCAACTCAGCATATTCTGTGATTATGTGTTTTTCCACACATTTTGTATTGTTCACTACCTAATTTCAATGCTCACTGTGAGCACAGCAACTGATTAGTATGCATTAGCTGAATCCTGAAGTTCTTCTGAAGTTCTTCTTTCATGTAACTGAGGTAGCTGAAGCCAATACCGATAATGCTTCCAAAAAATCTGAATGAAAACCACATATGCCACTATACGCTCCTTCTATTACTACAACTGCAAAGAATAGCTTTCTATTAATACAATCCTTGTATTCTATTACCTGTATTTTTTAGCAAGGGTATCCCTCTCTGTCTTCTGGTTTGCAAGTATTTCATTCAAAGCACCTTGTATCTGAGACAGCCTTTGAATATAGACATCTGTTCAATGTTTTGAAATAATCAAAATTATGATGGCAATAAGAAATAGAAAATATTTCATTAATAGCATTTTTAGTGCAGCAAATACACAGCCACAGTATAAAGACACTGCTAGAGCAGTACCTTATACAGTAATGCATGCTGGTAGCTCCTTACAATTGGAGCACTTTTAATGAAATTCTTATAGAAATAATTAAATACAAGTTTAACTTGAAGAATTTCTCAGAAGTACTGAAAAATTTTGAAGTGCAAGTACCTTGTTTGGGAAATTGTTAAGAGAAAAAGGAATAAATTAAAGAACTGCCCTATGGATGATAAGCCCTGAAAATTTTCAAGTTCTTTGTGTTGCAAGTAGCTACATAACATGACAATTATACTGAGGCTACCTGCAGAAGTTACATAATCTTAACAAGCTGCCTAAAACTTTCATTTGAAGTACTACAAAATAGCTTAATGAACCTAGAATTTTTGAAGTTGCATACAAAGGTAAAAGCATGTTAGTTCCAGTTTTACATAATTTCTAACTCATATAATAAAGTTAAATGATAAAGAAGAGCAATTATAAATTCTTCTTTATACACCCTTTCTCTTAGACATATAACTTGAGGGTTAGAAGTCACAACCAGTGACTTCCTGGGATAATTTGCTAAAAATTGTAACCTAATTCCTGAAAATCTAAAAGTCAATACAAGCTTTATATAATCAGGAAAAATGAAAAATTACAATATTAAATTGGAATTTGTAAAATGTTTCCCCAAAACTTCTTCACAGTACCTACCAGTATTTGCCTACTTAGTAATATGTAAATATTGCTCTTATTAAGGCAGTTTAATAGTAATTTTGTATCTGTTATTTGTAGTAGATTTCACTGCATGGAAATACCTTGAGATTTTAGTCTACTTTCTTTTGTCTTACTGAGTCTTGTGCCTCATCAATAGTAATGACTTTGACTTAGTTTAAGAGGTGCTACATTACTAATGCTTTTGTCAGTAGTGGTAACAGATCACCATGTTAATTTCTCTCATACCCCTGAACAAGAGAGGTCTGATTACACATGAAAAGGAGTAGTCTGATAGATTTTGCTCATTCACAAAATTATACTGATGTCTGTGCACAGACATCTGTCGGTTGTACCATCTACCTATTTGTCAAACATTTTTCAAGAAAGCACCTATTTTAATTAACAGTCCATACCCCATAAATTTGAGGTTGAAGCTATCCATATAATTCCACATTTCACATTTATTTTTAAAGGGATAAATTTACTTGTAAATACCATTTGAAAGCTCCAGCCTGTATTTAGGAATACAAATTTAAAAACAAAATCTTTCTTTCTGTCAAGAAGCAAAACTGTTTCATGAGTATGAGATGCTCCAATTAAACAGCCCTGCCTAGGGCAGCTGGGGAGAAAGACCAAGGTAAAAGGCATCCTGGCAGCAAGCGATGCCTCTTGAAGCATCATGGCATGGATACAATAGACTTCAACAGCTACACAGCAGCAGCATCACAATCACCTGAGAAGTCACTGTCACTTAGTAACTTCTTGAGATTAATCTGAACTGAGATTTGATAGCCTAAGACAAATTACACCTCGGGGCCTCAGCATCTCTGAAACTGCTCATCATTCACATTGTCTGCTGTAAAGAATCCTCTTTTTTCCTCTCATAATTTACGTTAGGCTCCTGGAAGTTTAGTCACACCAGAATAAAAATGCTGCATCTGCTACTTTACCTACAGACATAGCCATTCTTGATCATGCAGGGGCTCATGTGCTCATAATTGAATAATGCTGCCAGAAGTATGCATTCTTATCTAAGGATCCCTTTTTATATAATTATGTTGACTTGAGACACATGCCTCCAAGTGACATGCCTTCCTTTTCTGTCATAATATTCATTCCTGTGCAACAGAAAGTACTTCGGGAAGTGCCCACACCTGAGAAGTGTTATTAAAATCTTATTCTCTGAAGCTCTGTTTTCCAGAGGAGATTCAAATATATAATGTGCAATGATGTTTTAAAAGCAGTTATATTGCTAAAGATATTTGGCACCCACTAAAAATAGGTGAAACACTTCAATTTATGTCTACCTGCATCTTTCGAAGTTCTCAACTCAAATAGCAACAGTTCTTCCTGCTTCTTTTCTGTATCCTGTATGGCAGCAACAGACTCCTGCTAACACAGAAATTACCATAAGAAGTAGAGCCAAGTGCACCATACAAAACACGCCATGACAGAGGTAGAACAGAGGTACATAGTGCCAAGAACGTGCTCTTGAAGGGGCTATCACAGCCTGGGTTTGCTGTGGCATTCAAACTAGTCCATGCTCAGAGTCCTCTAGAAACCTCTGAGTGCACAGCAAAGATTGGACAGTGAAATGCACCACGACAGGATCATGTAGACAATGTAGACATAGGTTACAGACACCAGGAAAAGCTAACAATTAGTGTTGTTCTGTGTTAAGATAAACAGTATCTAAATATCTTCACCGTCGTGATGACAATTCATTACTGTTTCAAAAAGAACCATTCTGAAAATGTGCTTAAAAGCTTCAGATCTCATGACCTTTTTTCCTATTTTTATAAGCAATAAGAAATATGTGTCAGTATTGACTACCATTTCCACAATAAATTTAAAGACACAGAAATTATGAACAGAGAGAGGTGATAATAAACATTCATATATGTAAACCACAATTTACCTACTATAACTCTCTGCATTATGCTGTTTTTACATACATTTCAATGGATTTTTTATTTAAATTATCTTTATATATTTTTCAGTCAGCATATGTCACTATGCAGTGGTATACCACAGAGCAGTTTAACAAAACTGTAATCCATACTTACCACACTGTATTTCTCATGTTGTGTCTCCAAAGCTGCGTCATCATTTTTATAGCAGTCATAACAATGACGTTTTGATTTCCCCTCTCCACAATTAAGAAAAAATAAATTTAAAATTAAAATTAATTTGAAGGAGTACCATAGGCTGGATTAGCTAATATAGGTTAAAAAGATGAAATGGCAGATCAACTATTGAAAAGTATCTCATATATGCAAAAGAGGTCAAATTTAGGTAGCATAAAGAAATGAAAGCTACTGCTTTCAAAACTGCTCATTTCTCTTCCTGTGAAGAGAAATATGGGTAATAACTAAACTCTGAATATCCAAATATGTTCTTTTTACCTCATTCTCTCAGAAAAAACAAAACCCATCCACAAATGCTATTTTCTTAAATAAATAAATAAATAGCATTCAATAGTTAACAAAATTAAAAGCGTCACACTGCTTGAATAGTGTGATTTTTCCTTAACACTACAAGGTAATACTATGATTTATATTACAGAACTAACATACCAGTAACTTCAACAGTTTGAACAGGAAGTACAGAGTCCATAGCACCATACGACTTCAACAGTTCTTTCATTTCTTCATCACAAGCCTGATTCAAAGCACTTTCTCCTGAACCATCCCTCTCATTGGGATTTGCTCCATGCTGCAGCAGAATCCTGGCTGCCTATTATGCATTTTTGTTATTTGTACAGTGGTAATTCTTGTTGTGGACATATTATACAACTACATGTGTTACATCTAACATACATCACAAATAACACAGGTTCTCTAGATACTTTAAAGAGTATATAAAGTAAATAAGATACTCTACAATCATTATACTTGCAACCAAATTAAACAAAACAAGTAATTGGCTATTATCAACACAGATTTCTATCTTACCTTTCTTACATTTTTTCCATTAAAATACACAAACAACTCACAAATTTTCACAAAACACGTAATTTTTACAGTACTAATTTTTCTGTTTTATGGTTATACAGATCAATTACATAACACCACATATCTAAATTAAAAGGAGCTTGTCAATTTGCATTAAGACCAAAGTGCAGAATAGAAGTGCATTTCTTCCTTTAACATTGGTTTTTGTTTCATGGACTGATATTTTTTTTTCCTAATCCCAAAAAACTTGCAAGTTTGCTTAATCGCAAAATGTGGAAATCAGATTAGTGGCATCAGTGGAATCATCTACCCCCTAAATTCAGATTATATGAAAGTACTGATGAGGTCAGACCTTGGATGGTGAAGGAATTTTCATACATATGACTTCTCAGCTTTAGCATTTCTTCTTATTTCTTACACTCAGAGTGCAGTTAAGTAGGAAAATGCATTAAAACAAGAATGCTGACTCAAAGTTCAGGATGTTCTCTGTTGGTTTTCCCCCAAAATACTGAATAATACACTTATACGTTTGCAAGAACCCTACTGATAGTTTGGCTCCAAGGCTATGAAATCATCCCCTTTGTTTTACCCTTGCTCACAGAAAAAGATAAATTTGATGAAACATGAATTGTCCTGACAGAAATAGAAGAAGTATGTTTGAGGCAATTTGGCATCACCTTTACACTTCAGGTCCCCAGAACTCACTCTGTCAAAAGAACATTTTATTTATTTCTGTGCAGCGCTAGGCACCACAACTTAAGAAGTTTGTGAACGTCCTTGAATGTGCCCAGAGGAGGGCAACAAAGCTGGTGAAAGTGCTGAGAGACATGTTCTGTGAGGAGCCACTAAACACTTTGGGCTTGTCTAGTTTGGACAAAAGGAGACTTAGTGGCCTCACTGCTCTCTACACCTTCTTGAGCATGGAAATGGGGAGGGAGATACCCATCTTCTCCCCCTGGGATCCAGCGACAGATGAGTGGTAATGGGTCTAAGCTGTGCTAGAGGAGCTTGCTAGAGAGGTGGTCAATGTCCCAAGCCTGTCAATGTTTATGGAACATTTGGAAAATGTTAATATGATTTAACTTCTAGTTGGCTCCGAAGGGATCTGACAGTTGGACTAGATAATCACTGTAGGTCCATTTTAACCAAAACAGTTTGTTTACAGAACCACAGAATGGTTTGGGTTTAAACTAAAAAATAGTTTATTTTTAAACAACAAGCTCAGAATCTGTTCTTTACAAAAATAGGTTTTTTTACAATGAAGGTAGTGAGATACTGAAACAGACTGCTCACAGAAGTTGTGGTTACCTCTCAAGAAATGTTTGAAGTTCAGTAGGACAGGGCTTTGGGCAAGCTAAGCTAGTGGAAAAATGTCCCATCGATGACAGGGGCTGTTGTGGCTATGTGCTACTCTCCTCTCCTGATTAAGCCACAACCAGCAGGGGCAGTGGTGATAGATGCACATCCAGCCTCCTCCAGACTTTGCAGGGGACAAAGGGCACTGTCAACAGTGACCCAGGCATCTTATTGGCATGCAAATATGACCGTAAGTCAATCATCTTACTTCATAAATAGTGCACAGCCCAGGGCCCCTTGAGCTCTCTCTCTCTCAGGAATGGGCTGCACACCAGGACCTCCCCTTGAGTAGGGACACATCTTAGCATTACTCCTCGAGGCAGAGAAATTCCTGCCACAATAGATTCTCCATAATTGATGCTAAACTTTGAAATCTTACTTAAGTGGTAGAAAGGATTGATTGTGAACATAAACTGCTGACTGAGTCTGGAATGAAATCTGGATCTAGCCATCTGAGAAGGAGTTTTGAAAGCGAGGGGGTCCTTTCTGAACATCAGAAAGGTCATGACTCAACAGAAGGTCCCTCCTTACAGCTGGGACCCTGTTCTCTATGCAGTAAACAACAGAATTGTGTTAAACAATTGTCACATTTATCAGAGAACTTTGTTCACTGTTTTGTATCACTAAAACATAATTCTTCTCTCTTAAGTGCAAAGTACATCACTCCCATCTGCAGCAGCACTGAACTATCAATAAATTGAGAATCTTCAACTCTAATACTCTTTTTAAGAAGCCCAAACCAGAAAAAGAACCACAGGGAATTTCTGAATTTTTATGATTTGTCTGTTGTAGTAAAGAAGTTAATTAACTGTACAATTTCAACTGTCACTGTTGAAGAATATTTTTCTCTAACTTTTATCACTTTAAAGAATACTGGTTTATTTCCTAAATGCAAACCTACACTAAAATTGTGTTTGTAACTTTAATGAAATGGGGATTTTGTTTTGCTCACCCTCTGCTGGAAATTTGTGTTAGGAAATTTTACATAAAAGAAAAATGTACCTCCAAATAATTGCCAGAAACAGCATCGTGTATTGGTAAAACACCACAGAAACTTCTGCTGTTAACATCAGCACCTGCTTTCAGTAATTCTAAGATCACATCAGTAAATCCTCCATTAGAGGCTTCATGAATTGCTGTCCAACCTAATAAAAGCAAGATAAAACAGTATGCATCTGATCTGGAAAGATCCACAAAGGTCACTAATTAGTAACTCTACATTTTGCTGCATTTAAGATAAATCTTACACAAATAATCATCAGGAAAGGCCAAGATAAATGATTTTGTGTGCAATTCAGTTTACTTCAAAGAAAAGCTCATCCAATATTAAGCAGAAAAACATTGCTTTCTTTTCTACTGCAGTAGAAAAATAATAGAAGAAACAAAACACTGGAGTAGAAAAACTCTAAAAACTCAGAAGCACAATATTAATAATCTGATTTCTAATACCAGTAGCATTTGATAATATCAAGTCTGCCAGACTTGATAGTATAGAATAGTATCCATTTTAAAACTATGAAAATAGAAGCATGCTATATATTTAGGTAGGAAAAAGGAAAACATAATCTTGTCATCTGGTTTTTGTTCTTATTTTGTAGGGAAATAAGACCTGTCTGAATGTGCTTCACACATGCATATACTGATGCACATAAGCTCCACCAAACTTTCAAGCTCACTTCTGTACACATCTCTGAAAACATGCTCTTCAGCAGAGGAAAAAGACCGTTCTGAGAAACAGTCTGCATTACCTCTATACTGACATGACAGCTATGTAATCACTTGGTGTGCTTGTTTAATGACTTCCTTTCCTCCTCAAAATTTTAAGTCAAGAATCTGTAATTTTATTAAAATGATGCAAACGATATAAACATGTCTATACTACAGATTATGTAAAATTGTGGTATAAAACAATCTCCTAAGGGAGTAATTTTTAAACCTGCATAGTCCTGTTCATTGACAGAAATTCCAGATGATATTAGAGTCTTCACCAAAGACACATCTCCTCTCTTAGCAGCAGTATGCAGCTGAGTTTCCCCTTTTGCATTTCTCCTAATTTTCATCTTTCTCCCAGCTCTTGTCTTACAGGTACTGTGTACAGTTACAGCTTCTTCCCTGGTAGATGCTAAACATATTGGGTGTTCATTAGAAATTTTTTTCGCAAAGAATGCTTAGGTGTAAACAGAAAATTAAACTTCATAATTCAATTGAATTACTGTAAACGTGTGTAATACTGTTGCTTTAATTATTCAATAACATTAACTGACTATAGCAAAAAGTTAAAAGGTGCTGTGGTAGGTCCTGTGCAACAGGTCAGATGACAAGCAGATCCTCTACTTAAGAATTTCTAGTTAAAACCTAGATGATTCAAAAAGGGTACAACAAATTATGAAGACACAAGAAAGGTAACAAAGTTGAAATTTTATACTGTATAGAGGTAGAGAATATGTTAGGTTTCTCCATGGACTGCTTTGAAGTTACCAGGCTGCTAAATATATAAACTACACACGTAAAGATATGCAAAAAAATATTAAAAAATGTGGACACTTTTTATTGCACTTCTCCTTATGACTTCCTAATTCTGTATCAGAAAAAAGATAGGTGTGTGATTTATATATAGGTAGGCATATATATGTGTGTGTATATATATATATAGCTTGATGAATATATATATATATATTTATATATATATACACACATACACAAATGTTGGGATTTTTACAGCTATGATGTGAAAAATTTCTGAAGATTACAGTCATTGAGTAATATTTAGTGGCATAGATACTCTGTCATTTAAACCTGTGCAAAACTGGACCCATAACTGCAAATAAACTTATTTCTCATTGGTTCACAAAGCAAACAACATTCACTTTAATGATATCATGTGGTCATCAAAGAGGTTCTAATTCTGAAGCTTCAGGTAACAGAGCTACCAAATTCTATGAGATACAACAGAAAAAGGAGATTAACAAAATATTTATTATGTGTATAGAGTAAGGACAACCCCCTCTTCAAACTGGGTACCAAAGAGATAGGATATATAAATCCTCCGAAGTTCTTTCATCCATGCTAAATTTTTTTAAACTCCTGTTCCTTTTATTAGACGATCATACTTCCCAGATATTTTTGAAGAGTTTACTGTATTCTTTCTCTGATTTCTTGAAAATATGTAATTTATTCAAAGAACACAGAAGCTTATGCTTTTCAATGAGCATTCTGCAACTCTTATCCATGGGAGTTTTTTTCCCTTTTTATTCCTATGAACAATTAGTTGCTGCATCTTCCTCATCTCATCAAACAAGCTCTTTTCAGTCAGCATTAGCCATTAGTAGCCAACATCTTCTGTTCTTGACACCTGCCTTTCTTCAGGTACCTCCTGCCTTCTGGAAAATTGGCTTTTCCAATGTTTCATTCAAAGTAAACTACAGAGCTTGTCATACAATTTGGAAGAATATGAAAGACAGACTGAAGTGATAGTAGAGACAAACATACAGTGAGGATATACCCATCTTGGTTTTAAATGAGCTCACTGTAGGCTGTTCAAACCTGTGAGAAAGCCTTCAGGCAACCCTCTTTGCACTGACACCGCTTGGCCTACTCTCTACTGGCAACAAGAAAAACTCAAGAGCTCCTTTTTTAAATGAAAACTTGAGATTCTAGAGCACACAAAGGCATCACATTGTTAAAATACTCATCCAATCTAAGACCTACTTTACTATAAGATAATGTATTGTCTTTTGTCTAAAAGCTTCTGAACTCCCAAAGCAATCATCCACTTTCTGATTCTTCCTTTTCTTCCCTTTTGACTCATGGGAGAACATCCTAGGGATTTTTTAGAGACGTTGAAGAAAAAAAAGGGCCTACAACAGCCCATTAAGCTAATGAACCTTAGCAATATTGGCTGCAAGTGAACAGAAATAATTGCAAAGTTTTCCAGTTAAATTGCCATGCACAACAGTTTGCTTCATGGCTGTTAGGAAACATTTGCAAAAGCATGATGGGACATTGTTTTGTGAATTGCAAAATACTGGTTCACTGTGGGATGCATTGCCAGGTGGGTCACGAGAAGGAAAGATCCAGATCTTGGCAAATACAAAGTTCAGTCAGCACAGTACAAAGATAAAATGAAGAGATTACCGTAACTAGCAATCAGGTTGAATTAGGCTGATATACCTCAGCAACTTCAAGGACATTGTCCTTCAATACCTCCACATGGGTCTATGAGCAATTATTTCCACAGGCTGAACTATAAGAAAAGAAGGAAGCTGTCTGTATGTTCCTTCTGTATAAGCAGAATGGAAATGTTGGGAGCCTAGTAAGTGACTGACTGTAGATGTAAGTGACACTGTGTCACTTGTGAAGAAAATATTTTATTCAATAATAGAATAATATAAGGAAGACCAGTGGTACATAGAAGCAATCAGATGGGATAAAAAGGCCAGTTAATGACAAAAATATAGGAGAGCAAAAAATCTGAAAACCCCAGAAGTCAGAAAATATCATCCCATTTTTCACTTTATTTCTACAGCAATCTGAATGCCATTGTCCTGGACTCCAAATTTACTACTGCTTTCAACTGTATGAAGGGCTATACTTTCTTGCACCACCTCTGAAATGGCAACACTCTCCTGGTAATGAAGGGAGTAATTAATTTTATCAAATAAAATATTATCTGAATAATCCCTTATGAGGAAAAAAGTAGCCTAGGATATGCTATCCCAGAGAAGACCAAAATATAAGACACATGTTTGAAACAAAGCTTTTTAAAATCATAATGGCACAAATAGGAGGCAAAAAAGGTTTTAAGAGGGGAGGGATCCTATCAGATCTACAGGTTCTAGTTTTAGCAAGTCTTGAGTACCATGATTCTCCGGTTCCAGAAAGAACCAAAGTACACACAATGAGTGCCAGCTTTATCAAAAAATCTGTAAGTGAAAATATTTAGAGGTTAAGATGACTTGGAGCAGGGCTACAAGACAAATGCAAATCTTAGACATGGGATGAAAATGCTAAACAAAAAACTGCATGTGCAGGCAGAAGAGAATACAACTACCGGAGGATGCTGGATGCTTATTCTCTTGGAAGTAGGTTTGTATCTACACTACAGCTAACTCAAAGGTACCAGTACAATCAGAGTCCATGCTGATTTGTGCCTGATGAGGCTATATTCTATATATTATCATATTCTATAAAATATAATTTGATCTTTGTGTGCCAAATATATGGAGAGTTCTGTTCTTTGATCTGTGACATGAAAAACAGTTAACTAAAGACTGATCAAATTTTATTTTAAACTGCTGTTTATGTAACATACTTAAGTAAGGATAAGCTTGAAGTTCTCACTTATGATTCTGCATCCCCTCAACCACAATGCTAAAAGACTGATGAATGTAACATAAAAAAAACATGCATTCTGTAAAATGGAGCACAGACATTTCTGGAACTATTTAGGTATTCACTAGAGTATTTGCTCAACATGCTATATGTTTCTTGTCAAACTTTCCCTCACACATTTCAAAAAGCCTTCTTCATGTACATTTAGAAAAAAACTCCAAACCTCCACTGGTTTATAAAGTATTAACTTTTCACCTGACTTCTTAGATATTTGCTGTTTTGATGCTTTACTCAATTGTGATTGATTAGATGAAAGCTTCTTATTGCTGCTACTGGAATATGAGGCTGCCTTTTCTTTTTGGCTCTTCTCCTGAGGATTTGCACATGCTGGTTCTGACTCCTCTGTCTGTAAGGAAATCTATCAAAACAAAGGCAAAGAGAGTTTTAAACTCAGGGCTGGTTCTTTAGTTTTATTTCCATTAACATCAGATTATACTTGACTTGTCAAGTTTTGCAAAAAATCATTCTGAAGGTGTTCTCATATTGGTATTTAGACTCCTGTCACTCAAACTACCACGGTTACTCTGCATGAGACTGTGTTGTTTCCTGTCACATCCTGTTGTAACTTTAAAACAGATACATTGTGAGAGGAAGTCAAAGCAAATCAGTATTGACTGAGAATCAAGTGCTCTTAGACAGCTGTGAGAAATGGATTTGTAAAGGATTCTCAAAACCTGGCTGAAAGCTCACACAGCTTTATACATCTGTATGCAAACTCTGAGATAAGGTGTGATGACTTAGAAAGGCCATGGAATAGAGACGACATTGTCAAGAGAGATTGAACTAGAAACAAGTATCAAATGACGGTCTTGCAAAAAGGCCAGATATTTTTGAGAATTAGAACTGTGAAAGATGCATTGCAGCAACAATATGCGGGGTAAAATAATAGGTGATTGGTGTTAGAAGTATTAGCAGCATTGTGTGGCAAAAGCCAATATGCTGAAAAGCATTTATAAGGTACCCAGGAAATAGGTTAGCTTCTGACAGAATGGCATACAGTCTTACATCTCTTGTGTGACCCTTCTACAAGAATGATAATGGAATGAAATCTTTTAAAACTCCTTTTAGTTGCCCCGTCTTTGTAGAGCTGAGATTTTGCACCAAACAGTCTGAGAATGTTGTGCACACACTTTGTCTCCAGAAACCATGGATGTGAGATAACACAAATCAGTCACCTCCTCCCCTTTACAAAGAAGTTGCTGAGCTTCCACTAGTGCTCCCCTTTCACTCTGCAAATGAATTTTCACTGTACCACTACTGAATTACATTCATGTTGCAATACCACCTGATAGCTCAGTTTCACTACAACATTAAGTGAGATGTGACAATTATGAACAGACACAGCAATAGTCTGGCCCATTTCACTAGGTCATGAGGTCATTATTTTCATAAGGAAAATATGCTTTCCATAAAGTTCTTTGGATTGTAAGAGGAACTATACTTAAATCCATATGACATGAGATATTATTTCTGAATAGTTTTATTCTTCATGTAGCCTCTGCAATAAGAATAGCTTTTTTTGATCTTGTTGTTTTATTTTTAAATTTTCTGCCTTCAGAGAAAAGAGCTTTATTACTGTGTTTTCCACCAAATTTGTTTTTCTGCTTTGTTCATGTTTAGCAAAATTTCCTTTGATGCTCCAGTATTATCATGTTGAAGTACACTCGCATTTGATTCTATCTCCAAAACACGCCATATAATTAGCTTCATTTTCTGATAAATTCCTTTATTATATACTAAAAGAAAACTGTGCTGCTATGAAATTAACCGATTTCCTCTGTGCTGCTTTTTTGAAGTACCAAGAAATTGAGGAACTAAGAAACGTGTATAATCATGTAAAAATTCATGGGCAAAATACAACAATAAATTGAATTACTGAAGTGCTTTAAACTCATATTTATTTTTTAAAATTGAATCAGTTTGAATTAATGATCTGCCTTTAAAACTGCCTTGCTTCTGTGGTCATAAACCAGAGCTCTAGTTTCACATTTCTGACAAGCCTGTCTGCAATTATTCTAGAAAATTATAAAGACGGGTAAATAACGCATCAAAACCTCACAGAATTAACTCATGCTAATCTCAAGCTGGGCCAAAGGCCAGTGAGTATCTAGCATTATCCTTCTGATTACTTTATATCTGGAGACAGAACCAGAATACACACTGCAACATCTGATACAACTACTGAAATGACCAGTTACAAATCTACAGTAATAGGTTTACATAATTGTTTCCAGCACCATCTTTATCAATCACCTAATGTTTTAAAGCATAATCTAAGACTATACACAATGAATGCTCTTACACAGTAATATTTCAAAGGATGCATAGACTACACAACTGTGAGTAACAAGGACAGTTATCATCACCACATAAAACTTCAAAAGCTCCAAAAGATATATCTATGCACACTACATCCTACATTTCAGATATTATCTGTTATCATTGTTGAAAGGAAGAAAACACAGAGAAAATGCAGCTCTTAATGCTAAAAGCTGTTGCACTATATGCAAACACTGACCCAAGTGACTGATCACAGTGTCTTGTCTTCACATGACGCACCAGGTCCCTTATCCTGCTGAGACCTCACAGTATAATTGTGCAACCCCTGCGCAAGACACTGTATTCCCAACCCTTTTCTCTCAAAACCCAGCAACCCCTACTCTACAGAGGCAACATAACTATCCTACTGCTACAAGCCAGGCAAAAAATGGCAGTTTCAGTAAGGTTTCTGCAAGTAAAAACAGGCACTGACGTACCACGCTTCCTGTAATTAGCTCTGCAGCAGCATGTGCAAAAACAGCAAGAACCACCATCCATAAGACACCTGCCTCTGTTTTGCATCCTCATGAGGCTGTACCTTATCCCAAGTACTAGTAAGGATGAACTGAACATTGACTATCACTCTCAGTCCCTGCTGGACACATCTAGTACATTGTGTGCTGGAATTGAAACGTAACAGTAACAGGCATCTGCTTTAGTTTACTGAAGACTGTCAGCAAACTCCTAACAATTTATGATCAAATCAGACTTCTTTGTAAAGATATACCTGGTGCTGGTTTGTATCTTGTATGCCTTGAGTATTTAACATGTTCTTTGAATTGTCTCCACCTGAAATGCAAACGAAAGACAGAAAGAAACCAGAATTGAAGCAGTCATAATTTACTTTACATATCTTATGTCTACAATATTGCACGTAACATTACTTACAATATTTAGCTTTCAAGAAAAATTACCAAGCCATAAGGGTTTTATTGGAATCCAAAACATATCAAGATACAAAATATTTATCAAATTTTGGAGTCTAATCTTTGTTGCAAATAGCATCTTGTTCAAATCACGTTTCAAATTTTCTTCATGGTTAGTGTCCTGAGCATTTCCTTGTCAAACTCAGCGCAACCTCTGGCTCCTCTCTGTTAAGACTTCAAGTGTGCTTCAGGAGACCCAAAGAACCTCAGAGCAGCAGGCTGAGAGCCCTCACTAGCACCCCATCTATCTAATCTTCATGTCACTAGACAGCATCTCAGGGGCAAGTCTGATATTATCTCAGTCTCCTTTCATAAGTTAGCTATGTCAATGAGCCCTGCTAACTTATGAGCAAAGACCCTCTTCCTTCTCTGAGAAAGGTGAATGCCATCTGACACCAGAAGGCCCGGGTGTCAGATGTCCCTTTACTGGTGTCCAGACTGTCCCTTTACTGAAAAACCCAGAACTGTGGCAGTGATGCTAGCTATGGAGTCATGCATTAATAGATGGGATTTGTCTGTTTTTTCCAATGTCCCTGCTCACAACTGGAAGAAGAGAGGAAAAAATTGCCTGTCTGAACTCTCTTGATTATCCCTGGACTAGGTGTTACAGCTTTATTGCCACCCATGTGGAAAAGCAGGAATGGATAATAGTCTGAAAGATTGGGACTCATTCTGATTTATACATATTACAGACCACACTGGCCCATGTGTGTCTATGGTCTTAATCCTAGCTGTAATCAAGGCTTACCTTGTATCTGCTTCTGATCAAACAGCCTCCTCCAAACTTTCTTCACAATTTCATAAGTTCCCAAAAATGTACAAGACCCAACTCCCTCTTTAGCCAATCACTAGCTCTAATCCAACTTTTTCCTTACAAACTCACCAGCTGTTACCTACAGTGATATTTTCCTGTACCAGCCCAATTAAGGCTTGGCAACCCCTAAGTTCTAGATCTAATAGCAGTTTCCCATTTTTTCTCTTATGGATCCTTCAAACTTCAGACTTCATGCCACTTTAAAACAAAATTTTATCTCTACATCTAAACCATATCTCATCCATCAGCAACTCAAGCAATGCTGCATCTTCCATTTAGATACATAACTATTGTGTTCCACAACCTCATTTCAAATTTAAAGGTAACTCCAGCCCAAGAAAGAGCTGGATATTTACACTTTGTCAATGTACAGCAACTGTGGAGGGCAAGGAGTGCTCACTGTTAATTCAAGGCATCAGACAATGAAGGCCATAGAGGTACTAATAGTAATTAAGGAAATATAATTCAACAGATATTCTAAATTTCTCCATTTAGCAGTGATGATATGTCAGAGTAATTGTTTCCTACCTGCCACTAAGTGTCTTCTAGATTTTGCCATGTAACTTTTAAGAAGCTTCATCATAGTTGGGTCGGAAGCTTCTTCTAATGCACACCTTCCCTTCTGATTTTTTAGTAAGGGATCAGCTCCATACCAAAGTAATAAGTTTGCCATCTAGAAAAATAAGTTTTTCAGATAATTTATTTTCTGACAGTATTTTTCAGAATCCTTATACAGGCTTCTCTCTCTTACACTTAACACGAGCAACTAAAATCAAATCTGTCTTTATTGTAGTTCATACACACCAAGCATTCCCCTAGATGCATCATCATCCTATAGTCCTATTATTTTTATAAATTGTTCCAGTTATTAACCTGATGCCAATGAAACAAGGTCTCTCAAAATATAGGGTAGAATTCATCCTCCCACAGCTCATAACTGGCAGAAAATAACAGGTGATTTTAGGGTTTGAGTCAGTTTATCCATCTAGGATATCTGCTTTAAGAGAAAATAAACTGTGCTCTAGATGTGTCTCCTGTGACTGCAAGGGAAGTTTTGACAGCTATTTCTGATGTACAATATGTATCTGCTCAAAGGAAACACATTCAGATGGTCTTGCTAACAACATTATGATTTTTGTACAAATATAAAGCCTGAATCTATTGTTACTCAAGAAATTACCACTAGCAAAATGTTCCATCAACCTTTGCAAAATACCTTTTTTAAGACATGGGGAATTTATAGTCTGATTATTTCATTTCTATGGCTAACTGCAACATTTTTCCAGCATTGGTGTGATTTTACTTGTACCTCTATATTTATTTCTCCAGCATCAGTTATCATTCCAGACTGAACTTGACTCACATTCTTCACCTGCCTCTCATTACTTCTAACCAGATTGCTAATGAAAAAATTGTTAATGAAGTTTTCCTAACTCATACATTCTCCTAACAAGAGAGGAAAATAAAAAGGGTTCAGTTGGCAGCAAAAGCCCTTTTCGGTTTCACAAGTTGCCTCAAGTCTTCAGATTTTTTCAACCAGTAACACTGAGAACACTTCTCCCATAACAGGAATTGAGAGCATCACCACATGGGTGCTCTCCCCTTTAACTTGACCATTAGAAAATCTTTTCTAAGCTTAATATTTTTTCTGAAAGAAATTGATTTTGCATATTACAACTACAGAAAATTATGAAGTAGTCCAAAGTTGTGTTTCCAATACACGGTAATAACTTCACACAGAGAAGGTAGTTTTGAAAAACACAGTTACAAATACCATGTTACTGAAAGTCATATTAGTGAAACACTATCACTATTTTGTTGCTAGTCAAAAACCAACAAAATAAAATGTGACAGACCACTACAATGAAACAATTTTACAGCTACTGACTAAACAGAGCAATGAGTAAATACAGCACCACCATGCAGTACCATTCTTTCTGGATATACCAGCTTGCATAACTTTAACTCAGCTCTGTGCTGAATGATCTCGGTATGCCTCAAGTGACATAATTGAGATCAGTGTTCTTCCAATATAACTCAAGTTGCTGGCCCCTAGTTATTACTTGCAGAGATGCAGAGTCCTTCATCCACAACCATGGGTATCTTAGGTACAGTCACAAAACTCATAAATATTTCATGAACCTGGAAAAGTCTGTGATGCACAAGCTGCAATTTATTCTTGGGGCCGTCAAGTCTCAGAAAAACTTATTAACCAGAAGTCCACCTTTCATCTTTGCTCCACAGAGACTTTTCCAGGAGAAACAAAGTTTCATCTCAGTTGTGAAAAAGGCCAAATGTTCACGAACAAAACTTATCAGCCACTTCCCAAAAAACCCTTTAACATCTGGAAATCAGTAAGAATTAGGCAGCATATATACAGGTCTATAGAAAAAAACTGCCAGCAGATAAAAGGGACACACAGAATTCCTACACAAATTTGGGCCACCCTAGGAACATGCACAGACAGGTGGAGGTGACCACTACCAGACTGAAAGAGAATCTGCACTTCAGACACAGGCTTATGAAAACATTGCATTTGGCAAGAAATTTTACCATTAAACCAAACTGACTATTCAGTTAGTGTTCTGTTTAAGACCCTACAAAATACAAAGGCTGTCTTCATAATCCTCTATGTTCTGTGTCAACACATGGGTGTGCATGACTGTGATGACCTGCCATACAGCCATGATGCCTAAATAATGAAAAAAATGTCATTAATAGTCCAGAAGACTGCTCAAATCAGAAGTTACTCTGCAGGGTAATTACAAAACCAGTGAATGAAGTAGTATTAAAGAGTAGCAATCTACTCCTCAGTAGTACAACCATTGTCTGAAACAGAAAAAAATTCTCCTTTTGGACAAATCTTAAGCATGGAGTGGTTTGAATAGAAACCAGGCAGAGAGGACTTGTAAGCTCCTGAATTTACCTGTAATCTAAAAAGACCAGCCCCATACAAAAATGTGTGACCTTCTGGACTCAACAACAATAACTTCTATTGCTAAATCACACAATTCAGAATATACCTCATAATGGCCTTCCTTAACTGCATCTTGCAAGGGTGTTATTTGTTCCTTTTGTGTAGCATTAACATCAGCGCCTGCTTTCAAAAGCAGATTTGCTATCCCATAAAAGCCTTCCACACTTGCTATATGTAGCGCAGTCAAGCCTACAAAAAAAAACATGTATATTACCTTTGGTTCAAAAAAAATGTAGAAATCTAAGTAATTTTTAGGTTGTCTCTGATGAAGACTTCACTGAGTATATTGAAATGGTAAAAACTGATGTGTTCCAGTAAGATGTATGAAGAAATGTTTATGAGAACATCACGAAGGTTGGGAGATGTCATGCTTTTGGCAAAATTTGCACCTACTGAGGAAGTAGATGCTGCTGTAACAACGTTCATTTTTGATTTGATAGTTCTGTTATGAAAGGAGAGAATAAAAATTATTCATCCCATATTTTAGTAAATGGTCCTGGAATAAAACATATACACTATTTTAAGGACAAGGTAATCTTTCACTGCACTCTTTTATTTACATGGCTATGCTGAAGAGGGTAAGTAAGAAAGAAGTGACAAAATAAAGACATGAATTATGTATTACCAAACAAAAATGTTTGTAAGGCCATCCAGGAATTGTTTGAGTGTTCAAATAAATGAAAAATCCCTAGTAAAATTTCATATTCACACCAAGGTATATGGAAAAACCCAAGATATCACATGAATTCCACTCTATGAGGGAGCTGTTTAGGAAAAATATGGAAGTCTTCCAACTGGATTTAGCATAACCATGCATCAGGTCCTTAAACATGCACAATGAGAGACATAAGGGAAACACACAGAGGATTTTCCACTTCCTAACTTCCAGCTCTGAAACTAACATGCCCTCCAGAAGATCATTTTGATGGATAGTCTTAATCATCAACAATTTTCCACTATAAGAAGTTTGTCAGAGCCTAATTCACATACTAAGTATGTGTATTAATAAAGCTTAGTAAGATTGTTTCAGTTCCATTAAGCAAAAAAAAAATCTTAAATTCAACTAGAGAGAAACTCTTGAGGCTCTTTTATACACAACCCAACCCTGAATATTGTATATTCCTAGTAACCAGGTTTGTTATGAAATCCATTAAACAGATAATAAAATTTTGCATTTAGGGGAATGTACTAATTTCTCAGTACTAATATACTAATTTCCTTCAGTAAAAAGTATCCTCTACCTGATCGACTAATAAGTCCTGGAAAAACTGAAATTGCCACACATTCAACGAATAATTACTAGAGATTAGCAACATGAGTCTGCAAGGACACTGTGGCTGCTCCAAACCAAGAAGAAACAAGTTTCAGTGTAACTGTTTCTCAGATCCCTCAGGACACTATGAGTCAAGACTCAAACTTAGAGCACAAGACAGTATCTCTAATACGCTGGCCATATCCTACATGCTGATGTCCAGGAAATAAAAAAAAAGAGGGGAAAAAACCCCAAAACAAAACAAATAACACAAGATCCCAAAAACTCAGTAAGGTTCATACGCTGGCCATATCCTACAAGCTGATGTCCAGGAAATAAAAAAAAGAGGGAAAAAAACCCCAAAACAAAACAAATAACACAAGATCCCAAAAACTCAGTAAGGTTTGTAAGCAGACTACCATAGCATAGAAATAAGGAAAAAATACTAGGCTAAAATACGGATTATCCCTGGGGGGAAGCTTTAAAGAAGAACAGACACAGAGAAAGAATATAATATTCAGAACAATGACCCAAAGAAACCAAGATCAAAGCGCCTGCCAAAATGACACAAGCCTGTTAAGTCTGTCTGATTACACCTGCCTCACTGAAAAGAAAAGAAATAAAACAAGCAGAGCCAGGTCAACCTCTTACCTCTTCAAGGGGTACAACTAAAAGACATATTGTGTAGCTTAGCTCCTTTTGCACCAAAAGAACCAGCAGCCAGAGCCTGGGGAATGAAAAAACGGTGGCCTAGCAAAGTACACAAAGGCAAAAAAAGGAAGCAGCTGTGACCACAAAATCTAGAACCACTGCACTTCAGTACACTTGCCTACTGTGGCTGCAGCTGAACTGACACTGACAGCACTTCTCAGCTGTCAACACAGGGCTTTGAACCCCACCAACAAAATATTTTCTCCTCTGCTTCCAGCACACGCTAGTGCATATTACAAGTCACTTTGTTAGCTCAAATGCCTCTGCTGTAGAAGTCTGAGATTTGCTGCTGACCCAATCTATCTCTCAATATATTCCAGAAGACAGAGAACTTCAACCTTAATCCTGGTCCGTTATATGCCTGTGTTATGCAATAGCCTATAACTGCAGAATATGGGGTTTTTTTCTTTCCCACAGGACAGTTGTGAAATCCTAGCTGCTAGCACAATATGGAAAGACTGTAAGAATGAATTTTTCTAGCAGAAGAGCTAGCTGTCTGAAACAATTTTCTTTTTCTGTTATGCCAGTTTTCAGAGACTAACGGATGAGACAGGGAAGTGCAGATTAGGAACTGTCTTATATTTGAAACAACCAAGTAGTAATTAAGGTGTAGTGAAGTCTTTGACACAGAGTAACACCCACAAAACTGGATAAGGCAAATTGCTTGAATCAAAACATTAACAGATGGCTGCTTTTTGTCAAGATTTTTTTCCCTCCCCAAGACAAAGGGAAAATGGAAAACACCAAGCAATCACAACTTCAAAAATTCAAAGCCGTGCTCAACTTCTCTCAAGATGTAAAGGGTAAAACTGAAGTTCCTAAAAAATCTAACAGGAAAATTTATATCTTGATGTCTCAAGTTGGTCCCTGAAATGGACAAAAAATACCCGCCAATTTTAAGACCTATGAAGGTGATTATTTAATCAGCTGTATTTAATGACTACTTTGTGATAAACATGCATGGAATCATTGAACGGACGCACGTAAACCTAACTGCATCACTTTGTTAACTTTTTCAAGTGCTTAACTTCATCAAAATTTTCTTTTCTTTTATACTTTTAGAACTAGATCTACATGTTTTCCCATGAACAAATACTAACTTAAACCAATAAAAATTCAATAATCAGTTGACCAGTTACAAACTTACAGTCTTGTCCACTGCCCAAACTCATGCTTTTATTAGTTATAGGCAGGTACTTGTACTGAAAATACTATTTTAGTACAATTGCAACTTACCAGCATAATCCTGAGCATTTACATTTCCACCGGCTTTTATTATCCTACGTACAAGGTTTATGTCTTGGTGAGTAACAGCTCTATGTAGTAAGTTCTCACCATACACATTCCTCCTGTGGATTGTTGAAAGTGACAGGGGGCGAGTTGGATTTACAGAATTCCTACCAAAGGCTTCTCGTTCTGAAAAATAATGTAAAAGATCTGTTGCACAGAGAAGTATCTTTTCTCTCTTATCTTGGCTTCATTTTATATCAAAGTTAGTAAATAAGCTTCCTGAAGAAACAAATGTTCAATCAATCTAGTAAAAACTAAAATCTCAAAAAAAAAATTCTCAAATTGAATAATAAGGCTATTTAATAAAAGATGTCATAGTGAATTTCATAACAAAATTCCAAATTAAATTAAACACACAGAAATAAGAGTATGTTGAAGTGTTTTAACCTCAGACTTTTTCCTTTCTAATGACATTTTTGCAAGGTGCATTGCCTCCCAATGGATAATAAAATCAATATTCTGTATTCAAACCATAATAAGGTGACCATTTCAATAACTAGTAAGTTATTCTATAATTTAACTTTTCTTAAAAGTAAAATTTATCCACCATTCTTTTTTAATCATTATCTTTTACAGCCTCTGCTCTGTGAGCAAGTATTTACACTAGGATTGAGATCAGCTCCCTCAGGTTATCTTTTCTCATTACTTCACAACCAGCTCAGTCATTTCTGCAATGAATGAAAGGTGAATATGAGTTCTAAATGTAAAAAGTAAAATTTAAAGGAGACTGCTTTTGATGTTTAGTATTTAACAAAACAAACACTATCTCCCATTATGCAGTCATCACACTTTTCAGCTTGGCTTAAATTATTTCCAACGCACAAATGAGCTGCTCTGTACATCACCAGCACTGCCATTCCAACATTCCTAAAAACCATGGGGAAGAGCATCCTGCTTACTGCCTCTGATGACAAACAAGGAGGGAAGAAAGAAGGGAAGAAAGACCAGGAGAATCGTTTGAAGATAAACATAGTGCAGGCCTAGGCCATTAATTCATCTACTTATAAGAACTCCTAGGACTATATACATTGCTCCTCTCCACAAGCTGTAGCAGGTGTACCTCACAGGTCCTAAAACTCCACCCAGGTGCCAGTGATGCCTTAAAAAACCCAGAAATGAAAAAACACACTTTCAAAGAAATATTAGTATAGGAGATAATATAAAGGCTGGTCTTTATTGGAGGCTTCCAGGGGCAGATATGGAAAATGCAGATCCTCACACAGGGTGAACACAGTTTTATAAGTTTAGCAAATTAACATAACTGACAAAAATCCTCAGTTAGAGACATAACTGGTGAGGTAACTCCCCTGCAGTTCAATCCTCTTCTGAATCCTCCCACCTCAGATAGGAACTAAACTTTGTTTATGAAAATGTGTCTCAAAGAGCTGGTTTCAACCTTGGCTCCCAGAAAGAACCAAGACAGGATAGGTGCCTTAGAACCTACAGTCTGGAGCCTTTGTAATGTGTTTTGTCTTTCTGCCTATCATGGTAGGGAAAAGGTAGGGAAAAGTAGTGGGACTAACTACGAATACAATAATGGGCTGCAGAGCTACATATATATGTGTAAAGAATGTAGAGAATATAAAAAAGCGAAAAAGGCAAAATTAATTTGGCATCACCAGAAATAGACCTTAAACCCCACAGTTCTTCTAGAGCTGTAACTCACACAGCCTGATGTTTTATGCACTGTGATAAACTGTGAGCTTGGACTAATTCCAAACATTCTTAAATTCTTGACTCTGAGTAGGTTTTTTGAATCTAATAGATAGGGGTTTCCCTCAGCTGAGAACACAGTCCCTCTCTGCTATCCAGCCTTGTAAGATGGCAATCATTTAAGACAAGCAGTTGCTAGTCAAAGCTGGTCTAAACCAGCCAAGCAGTTCAGGAGGGATTAAACTGCACAGACATAAACAGAATCATGTGCAGTTTTATGTTACATTTTACCTCATTAAAATCTTCCTTGAAGGGATCTATTTCCCCTTACTTCCACTTGCCTTCCCTAGAGCTTTCCATGCGCCTGACCTTGTGCAAAACAAGTGACACATGCAGACCCAAACCAAAACTGATTATGGGGCAGTTTTTAGAATTAATTCCCAAACAAAGATGACTCATGGGCTCTTAAAAAGTCTGATGAGAAAGGGAGGTAAGCTTGCTATATTGGTTTACCATGAAGCTACCTCTGTAGACAGTTCAACTTTTTCTGCAGAAACCATGCTAAAGAATCAGTAACTTGTTTATTGAGTGGAAAATAGCAAGTTCATTTGAAATAGATGAGCAGTTAGTCATTCAACTTTAAATCTCATCAAAATGGTGCTTCCACTGTGAATAATTAAAATCCTGCGAAAGAGAATTAAATCCTGTTAACTGGAGGTGGACTTCTTCATGTTTTTTAAGATCGGTAACATAGGTGTTGCAATTCAAATACTTACAAACTTTGTAAGATGTTTGAATGATTGAAAGTAAATGGAAAAACCCTATCTGCGTAGACCTAAACAACAAAAAAATCAAAAACCCGAACAGATAAGACCTAATCTTAAAGGTGCTGGAGTGAAAACTTAAGCAAGGAAATTCTGTATTCTCCCACAAAATTCCTCTGCAAGGTCAAGAACTTTTCTGCATGTACCTTCAGAGGGTGAAAAACAGCAATCTGTCTCTCTAACAAAGAATGTTCCAAATAAAAATACTTTAAAAGAGTGCTCTGTGGTAGTAAAGGCCCTATAATCCTGTAGGCAGGGTAACAACAGCAGGCACTCAGAATGGAATAAACCATTTTGTATAGGTCAGTTCTTGAGGATGGTACTGCTCTGACTATGATTTTGCACACAGAACACTAAATGGCAGAAAGATGAACAAATGTAGCTCAGGATCTACCTTTTCACTCTGCACAAAAACAATTCTCTTCTCCTTTTCAGTACACCCCATATTTTTTTTTTCATATAAAACACTAATAAAAATTGCATTCTGAAAAACATCTCATGATTCTTATGCAAACATGTTCACTGTTAGGTTGCTAATATAAGGGTTTACACAAGAAGGAAAATTATCAATATCTTTAATTATTAAAATTAATGTTTATACAGTATTTTTAAAAGAAAACCATGCCACAAGGCATTGGAAAAATTATTAATTATATTTGATTCAGTACAGTTGTTGAAATAATAATCTGTATAATAAAAACATAGAGTATCTTACTCCGTTTGTTGTCAATTCTCTTGCTCTTTCTCCTCTGATTAGCTTCTGCATACTCATTCAGAATTATTTCTTGCCATAAGATAGTTTCTAGATCCTGCTTGTCTTCAGAAGGAGATTTCTGAATTTTACTGACAAGAGATTTGCTTAGAATGAACAAAAATATTCTCTATATAAATCAATGTTTACAGTAGAGCTAAGAATATGAATATGTTTGATTTAAAAAGGAATTCTGTAATAGCAAGCTAACTTAGATAGTACTGAATAAGGAGTAAATCAGGAGAGAAACTAATTTCCAGGTCTTTAAATAAAGGGTAAAAATCTTTCTCTTTGATCATTTACAGTACTCCATATGCATTGTATAACATTAATATATAAAAAATAATTTAAGAATTATTATGCATATATTTCTCATACTTAAAATGCTTAACTTTGTTTTCTTTATACTGCCACTGTGAGCCATTCCTGCTGTTTCTTCTGGTATTTGGTGATGAGAGGAAACAATCTGTGTACTTTCCTGAGGAGGTCTCACTTACCTTGATGCTGTTTGGCCTGTTTCTGCACATGCTGCAGGCTCCACTGAATATGAATGTCCCTCACCAGTCTGTTTTTCACTAAAGGTGGCATCCAAGCAATCTGACATTACTTCTTTCTCCCTCTGCTGACCACCCACAGGCTGTGACCAAAAAAAAATATTAGAAGCAACTGGTAGACATGAAGTTAAAACAAAGGCTGTACATAAAAGAGCTCCAAGAACACTCTTTTTAAAATTGTATGCCCACAGAGAATTGAGGGATTGCTTAAGTGAATAACTGGAACTATACAGGTATGAAAGACAGAGGCTTCCACAGGAGAGGCAATCCTGAAGTAGTATGCCATGCAATGTGTTCCTGGCAAAATTAACCAAGAGAATTACGCTACTCGGAGTCACAACTTAAAATATAAATCTAGGCTGGATGACAGCAAACAAAAGTTGTTCTACCTGAAAGTTATTTGATTGGACATTTGAAATTACAACAGATTAATTTCAGTTTCCTATGGACATGAGCTTCTGTCCTAAATAAATAAAATGATGCGTGAGATGTCTTAAGATAGCCCATACTATCTCACTGCTGCAGAAGCCTAAAAATTTACACGTGGTGAGATCCATGTTTCACCTGAAGTTACGTAACTCCCAACTGAGCAGTTATTTCTAAAGATATACCATCCCTGAGCTACAGCCACTACAGCTGAGATTCACTTCACTTACCTTCAACCTTCTAAAAGCCAGGCATGTAGATGACACTAGGCATCATCATGACCCCACCACTTGCAAAGAGGAAGAGCTACTCTGAGATGATAGAGACTTACCTCATCCCAAGTTGTGCAAAGGGGAATGTAAATCATTCATGTATACCAGAGACTTAACTCTAATCCCACCCTAAAGACAGGTCACCACATGGCAGTTAATTGGAGTTGCTTGAGCTGGTTCACTGTTTTAGCAATGTGACTGCGACATGCTGCTATGTATCACTCAAGCTCCTGAAAGCTGGGTTTAATTAGTTGAATACTTGAGTAATGCTGAAAGCTTTTAGGACACACCCTCAGCACATATGCATAGAAATTCTTCCACAATGATGTGGGAGAACTGGTTAGTCCTTTCTTGCGATATAAACACAAATGGAGAATGTACTGATTTATTTTTTTAAATTGACATATTTAACAGAGAGGTCACTAAAGAAGGGAATTGCCTTCCCACAAGTAGTTCCTCTGGGTCCAGAGATAATGCACGTTAACATGGGAGCTGGGGTCGTTTAGCCTGAGGAAAAGGAGTCTCAGCAGTGCCTTTATTGCTGTCTACAACGACCTGAAAAGAGTTTGTAGTGAGGTGAGGGCTGGTCTCTTCTTCCAGGTAAAAAGCAGAAGGACAAGGGGAAATGGCCTGTCCTACTGCCAGAGAAGGCTTAGATTGAGTATAAGGAAAACTTTTTTCACTGGAAGTGTGGCTAGGCACTGAAACAGGCTGACTAGGGAAGTGGTGGAATCACCATCCCTGGAAATGTTCAAAAGACAGGAGGATGTGGCACTTGGGGACACGGCTTAGTGGTAAACACAGTGGTTCATGGCTGGGCAATTGGACTTGATGATCCTAAAGGTCTTTCCCAACCTTAGTGGTTGTACGGCAGCTGGGGAAAGTCAAATAGAATATGTTAGAAAACTATCATAGTTGTACTTTCAATGGATTCACATCTGTGATGGGAGGAGGGTTAGAGAAGGAGAAGAAAACATTTCAAAGAAAACAAACCCCATGCTTGCTTTATAAGAGATCATACACTAAAATATCTGGCATATCCAGCATCCTGATTACATCCACATGTCAGTACAGACTGTCCTCTTTTGTATTCTAGTTTCACCACAAGAATACTCTGAAGAAAGAAGGGTGAGAAAAGACCCCGGTGAACAGTATACTGTTACAATTAAACAGTTACTAACAAATTAACTGGGGGGGTTTTTTTCTCAGTAATTTGCCTCCTTACCTTCTGCCTTTAAGAACGCCAGATAAAGGCACAAAGAAAATATAAGGTTGATTGTTGTTTGACAAGAGGGTAGAGATCTCCATTTCCACAAGACTCTGCTTCTCAATTTCAACTGCAATTTTGAGTAAATCTATACATTAATCTTCACACAGCTGTGCTACTAATTTCAGAAATGAATATGTCACTGAAAGAGCTTTGTAAAGTGCTATGGTTCTGAGACAACTGGCCTACAGACCTTTCAGCAACTTGAAACTAGCCATCGTTGTGGCATATTTAATGTGCCACATTTACAAGCTGATATATTCAGTTAATACTACTAGGAAAAATCAGAATGAACTCATAGTTTTTGGACGCTTTATGCCATTGTGGGTTTTATAACTCCCTTAAATACCCAGCTTTACATAACTGATCATTGATTTGCAACTCCAGAATGTCTGAATACAATACAGAGCAGAGGATCAGGCTGCAGGTTTACAAGAGATGCTTAATATACTCTGCAGCATAAATCTATGTCTCCTATCTGTCCTTCTCTTTCCCTGATTATAATCTAAACAGGAAGAAACTATGGCTTTCCATTCATGCTCCTCTCCATATTTTTTCATTGGTGTTACTGAATAGAAATGACATGTTACAGACCACCTTCACAGCACAAGAAGCAACAGGAAGGATCACATGCTGTATCCATACATACTGGTTTCTTCAGGGAAAGATGGGAACATAAACACATACCTCAGTTTTTCCAGTATGTCTTGCATAGGCAGAACTAAGCACAATAAATACACTTCTAAATACATATGTAAAATTCCCCTCTGAATAATCTTCCTAGTCTATAGGAAAGACATAGCTGTAACCTATTTTGTAATACTTGCAAAGCATTTGCATTTACAGCACTGAGAACTACAACAAAAGATAACAGCACACTATTGCCTGTATCATAAACAGGACAGTAGGATGCAGTAGGAACCTGGAGATGGAATTGGCTGGTATATACTGGTATGCTACAATGAAATAACAGAATAATGTTTTGGAGAGAACATGAGACACAGAAGATGTACAGGCAGTCTAGGAGTTTCTGAAAAAAAGCCAGGCTGATTCTAGGTTTCCACATCAGTCAATAAATTAACTTCACTAGAATTACCCATCTAGCAAGCTTAGCTATTTTCATAACATGGATACATGCAAACAGGAAATACAAAATACAGTAATGGACTTTTAAACCAAAAACAACTGAAATTACTTAAATATGCAAATTATTGATGCTAGTTTATTCTTCACTAAGATTCCCATCTTCAAGTAATTTGGCTACTTGATGTAATATTTTATGATAAACATAAAATTTCAAATATGAAAGAATGGTTATACTTGCTCATTTGTTGTGCTCTCTGAGTTAGGTCCTGTGAAGGCATTTGTTTCTTCCACCTGAACTGCAGCAAGTCGAGGCTCCATCACGTTTGATATTTGAGTATAGTCATCATCTACCTGCAGAACACTGGTTTCTGAATTTAGCTGCTCTTCCTCGGTGTTGAGCTGTCTCTCATTTGGAACTACAGGAATGGCAGCTTGTACCATTGCTGCTGACAAGGCATTCCGAGGCACCACAAGCTCTACTGGCAGGGCATTGTTGCTCTCAGCTGCTGATGGATCGACGGAACAGGCATGACCCTGACACTCTAACTTGTCAGGCAATGGGTTCTTAACTTTAAGACACTCAGAATCACTAGGGTATCTCAACAAATCACTGATGTCAACTTCACTAGTCTCTATATTCTGTTCAGTGAATACATCCACAAAAATCTTCCCTGGGGACGACAGTGAAAGATATGTGTCATTATTAAGGGAATGCTCTTTTATTGTGTTATCTGTGTCAACAATGGTCATGCAGGTTCTGTGGCAGTTATCTAAAACATGTGGAAATGTATCTTCTGGTGTCTGTTCCTCTTGAACTGTTATTATGTCTTCCACAGGATCATGTAGAGAGAGGCTTATTTCTGGACAGCAATCTTTATTACTTAATTTTGGTGATATCTAAAAAATTAAATTTAAAAAGTTAATGAAAAAGAATGGAGCAAGTCTTACTAAAAAGCCTTTAATTAAAACTCACTTTAGAAGTCAACTCTCTTTCTATATACGTGTTTATATTTTAATATAAACTTTTTCAAAATCTAGAAGACTCAAAGTCTTCCTTCATACAATATACTAACAAGAGTTAGACTGAGAGCTCAATTTCAAAAGAAGTTTCAACTTCAGCTGTTGACTTCTACAGCAGTGAAAATCCAGGGCAAAAGAGACTAAATCTGTTTTAGTCAAAGATATTCTGTCATTACCAATGGCAATAGCAAATAACCTGAGGATGTTATAAGACTTTAAAAGAAAGTCATCAAAAATCTCTGTCACACAGAAATAATGAAAGTAAACACATTCACAATAACTTTTTTATTATGTGTTTTTGTGGATCCAATACAGATATGGAGGACTTGTGTCTCACAAACTTCAGTTCAAAACCTTAGGGTTTTGAGAAGTTTGCATGGTGTGGTTTCCACACTGAACACAGAGCACAAAATCATAATTGTTCTTGGAAAAGTAGTACTGCTGTTTTTCTAATCACTGTGAACTACATTCAACAGAAGCACCCATTTTTACATTAAGAAATTGCTTTTCTAATTTTTCCCCTATCCCTGTCTTAAATGCTCCACAGAAAAAAAAATATGATGCCTCCAGAGACCTAAACCTTTTTTTTTTCCTATATAACACCTCTATATAATAAGTGCTCATACTTAGTAATACTGGATCTAAGAAAATCTCTTTCAATGCATTTTTGGAGTCTTGCTGCCAGCAAGTGGCAATACCAGGCAATGCAAGAAACCTTTAAACACTGGTGACATTATTTAGATAAAGCTCACACACAATAAAACAGTAAGGTCAGAAATCCAACTGCATACACTCAGGTTCAGTTTGCAAGCTAGTATAAATCCTTATTTCTTTCTTGAAAAATTATTCACCTGCCAGCTGTTTCTTATCTTTTATGTGTGCATCAAATTGTTTCTAAGTACTGATTACTTCTTACTTTGCTTTATTGAATTACACTTTATTTTTACACCACTTCTCTAATTCATCCAGACTTTAAACAACTGTGGGAAAAGAAAACTTCACTGACGAAAGCTTTCTCTACTTGAGAAAGCTTTATGGTATAAACAGCATGTATATATATTACAAATTTCCCAAGAAAAAGGCTCAATGCATGTGTTGAAAAGTGTGTGAAATTTTGCAAGATTCTAAAATCCCCAAAGTCAACTGAAATTCAACCCTTAAATGTGACGTGTTCACAAAACTCCAGACACAGTAGTCCAGGTGGAGTCCCACAAGAGCAGAGCAGAGGGTCCACCAGGATTCCAAAGTCCTTCTCTGGCAGAGCTATTTTCCTGACAGTTAGACTCCAGCTGAACTTGTGCCTGAGGTTATTTCTCCCCAAATGCAGAACTTCGCACTTCCCCTTGACAAATTTCATCAGATTCCTCTCCTCCCAATTTTCCATATTTTCAGGTCCCTATGAATGACAACACAACTGTCTAGTCTATCAGTCATTTCTCCCAGTACCATCCCTGAAATTGCTGAGGGTAATGTGTGTTCTATTTTCCAGGCCACTAATGAAGATATTGAACAGTAGTTGCCCCACTATTGAGACAGCAACCATAACAGAAATCAGTGCTGCTACATCATCAAAACCAAGAAAACTCAGCAAGACTAATTGTGAGGTGTCAGAATTCTCTACACAGATGATAATTTATAGATTTTGTGTTTTCAGGGATACACAAAACTATTCAGTGACTCACTGCTGGTTGTCAAGTTGTCTCTCCTGACCTTGATTCAAATCAATACATGGAAGCCTGTGATGATCATTGGTTCATCTCACTAAAGATCCTTCTGCAGGACTCAGACCTTGCTAGGGCCAACATTAGCCAATAACCAAAAAGTAAAATCTACTGTAGTGATTATTTCCAGCCTTCTTACTCCAGCCTCCTAAAATATCTTCTCTGGAGATACTCCCAATGCATTCAACCTGCCCATTCTCCAGAGGCTATTAACAACAGGGAATCTCTGTTTCAAGGCATTTAGAGTTTGTTCTATGGGACTAACCCTGTACAATGAGAATGTTTCATTTAATAAACTTACAGCTTATTTCCAGCCTTCTTACTCCAGCTTCCTAAAATATCTTCTCTGGAGATACTCCAAATGCATTCAATCTGCCCATTCTCCAGAGGCTTATTAACAACAGGGAATCTCTGTTTCAAGGCATTTAGAGTTTGTTCTATGGGACTAACCCTGTACAATGAGAATGTTTCATTTAATAAACTTACAGTTTTATATTAGCAGTGTATTTTTCAGAAAACAATATGGTCAGAGATTTCATTTTTTCGTCTTGGTTCTGAGATGGAATATTTTACCCTGTCATCACTCATATTTGCTGGAAGACGTGAGCAATAAGGACAGTAGAAAAGAACAGCATTGTACTCTGATAAGGACAGTAGATTAGAACAGCACAGCCTTGGAGTACTAGATTAAGGATGTAACTTAGGCAAACAGAAGCCATTCAAAACCCAAGCAGGATGCCAGCTCAGTTCTGCAAGCCTGACAAAGCAGAAGTTGTGCAATAGAATGACACTGTGCTTACTCAAAAGTAGGGGTCAAGGAACAGGCACCTAAAAAGGACATGGGACACTGAAAACACCCAAAGAAAACCCTAAGAAACCATAATAGGACTTCTGATAAGGGGTGCAATTATGTAAATGAAGTAATAGATGCACATCAAGTAAGGGGGGATAGCAAATTAATGTGGGATTGGTGTATATGATAAACACTGTTCACTGGATGCTCAGGGCACTCAGTGGAGTGAAGTCACCTCCACTGCTGCAGTGACTTGGAGGTGAATGAGTGACTGCTCTCAAATACTTACAACTGTGTTAGGAAGTTACTATCTGGCCAATTTTGGTATCAATACTGGTTTCAAATCAGCCTTTGGTGAATTCTACCAAGAACTGCTTTTCCCCTGGCATAAACCTCAAAAAGGAGCCTTGAAAAATGCCAAGTAAAACTAATTTATATAGAATCCTAACTTTTTATTTGTAGGTACAAATCAATGGGACTAGATGGTACAGTCATAATGATACGACATCTGCATTAAGCGCAGTCTTTCACAGCAGAAACTCTGCTACTACCTATTTCTGACCATTAGTAAGACTCTCCCAAACAAAAGGACAGTTACAGACAATCTCTTCCTCCTCAGAGTCCTTCCTGCCTGTCTCATAGCTTTCATTGGTGGGGAACATTTTAAGCTACTAAGTGTCTTCATTACTTTAGCTTAAGTAACAGCCCTTATAGATTCTCTCTCATAATGATATCCTTCCCACCTCACTTTCACTGCCATGCTTCTATTCTTGCATACTGCAAGCTTAGCAACTACAGTTCTTACCAAAAAAACAGAAAATAAAGTTTAGCTTTAAAGTTGTCTTCAGCATGCTCAGTGTCAGTGTAAACAGCTATGTGCTTGCTTACCTTTTCTTCTGAATCCTTTTGAAATCCATTCAATTTGATATCTAAATTTAGGAGAACAGAAAAATAATTCAGTTTTACTTTCCACTTCTGAAAGTTATTATAATCTCTCAAAAAAGGCATAATTTCCTAATTAAGGCTTAGGTTTCAAACCTTAAAAATCACTATAGTCATGTTTCCCTAAGGGAAACTGACAGTAAAGTCTCTGGTTAGACTCTGTTACTAACCAAATAATATGCCATAGCTATTTTGTCACATTTCTTCACCGTGGTTTAGAGTCCTGTGTTTCCAAAGACTATCAGCGGATGGAATTGCCACCCATTTCACATGACAAGACCTAGCCTCTGCCCTCTCTAATTACAGTGCAGTTAGACAACACTGCTGAAACAATCCAATAACTTACTGCTTCTGGATAGCGATGATCCCAAACCCCCTGATCTCATCACCTTGTGTCAACATTCATGCGACTCCCTGGCAATTTTCTAATCAGAAATAAAGTGGATGTTTTCCTGTTGGATTACCAAAAATAAAACTCAAGTGGAAGACAGCAAAACAGATGGGTTAGTCCTGCATTTTTGGGAACACTGAGGAATGGAAGTACTCCTTATTTAGCAGCACATGCCATACTGACCTGAGGAACAGTAGCATTTTTGTTATTCCTTTCTTACAGATGCCTCTGATTCTTGGGTATGTTAGAAAGAAGCAAGTAGGAATCCTCCATGACCTTTTTACCTTACACATCTATAAGATATTTAAGCACCATGTGGCCTGTAACCCTCGTCAGAAAACCCCACAGCAGTGAAATAATTTTAATACTGGCATGAGAATACAGTTATTTCTTCCAACAATCCTAACACAGTACTTACAAAAACAGAACTTGCAGTCCATGACTACAAAAACTGAACAACTTTTATAAAAAACGTATAGTCAGATCCTGTATAAACTTACATGGATACTCATCTTCAGCTTAACAAATTATTTTCTCAAATGATTGTGCCACAGCTGGAGCAACTCCTAGTTTTGTACAAATACAACATACCTACAGAATTATTCTGCTCTTCTTCTGCTGTAGAATTTAATGAAAAACGAGGCTTAGAAATATTTTCCGTAGGTGATGAATGGTTTCTCCAGTCCCTAGGATTAAATAATACTATTAAAAATTCTTAAAGAATTGTAATCTGCTCATTTTAGGAACATTTTTACAATACTTTGAATTGGCTACTATCTGTGGAAACAGCTGCAGTTATTTTAGAGGTATACTTTTCTTTACAAGGACATGCAATAAATAAGACTTCTGGATTTCCTGTGTGGAGCTAGCAATGTCTACATATTTGTTCTCTAAGTGAAACAAAAAGGCCTTTTCTATTCTTTATTACAGCTTTCTATATTTCTGTTATAAATCTATCTTCTATTTAAAACTTTCCATAGTTTCCAGGAACAAAAAGCCTAATATTATTTATTACAAGTTTTTATTTGTCTAATGCTTTTCCCCAAGTTCCATTATTCTTGTTGGTTATGTTCTTAAACGATTTAAGGTACTATCATCAACAAAAATAAATCCAAGCACAGCTTGATCCATATTGGACAATGAACTACTGCCGACATAAATACATTAGAGATCCTTCACTAAGCAAACAAGAAAACTGTTTCTTAGTAGAACACTGGAAATAAAATAAGGTACAAACGGAAGTATAACAGGATTATTTAATTACGTTATGCCTGACTGGAATTCCTATGTGATATACTTTACTCACTTCAGTAGGGATTGAGACTGGTCAGATGTGTATGCCTCTTGAAGTACCTGAAAGAAGAAAAAGCTTAACAAGTTAGTAAGTACTTAACTGTTTATCTTCTCAGTTTTATTGCAGGCTTATCTTCTTCCTTCAGTAATTTAGTTAGGAAACAGAATTCGTAGATCCAATTATTACATACATTTCTACTCAGATACAAAAGCATTCCGCTTAAACCTTTTTTTTATTATTTGACAAAAAGGGTGAAAAATAAATCAAGACTATAGAAGAAAACATTCACCCACAAGGAAAACAAACTGTTGCAAGAAAGACACAATTGCTCCAAACTTAAAATGTTTTATACATCAAAGGGCCAAAACACAAGGTACTTTAATTTCAACTTACAGTTTCAATCCTTCTTTCATAACTTTTTTCATTAAATAAGACAGGGTGCTGTTCCAAAGACTGTGATGTTTACTATACTGCTCTCAATATCCCTATAATACAGTATTTAAGGAACTTCAAGACTTGCACATCAGCCAGTTCTGGGTGGCAGGGCTGCCACAAACCAACACAGGAAAGAGCAGATGGGTAAGGAGAGCACTGATGTCACAGCAGGAGCCAAATTCCAACTCCTTATTACAAAGACCTTGGATCTTTTTCTCGTACCTTTGCCAAAAATGCAGAGATCTCCCTCACTATGGAAAAATGAGCCTTTATACAAAGTCTAAGGCAAACTAGGAATGATTAAGATATTCAAGTGAACTGCAGAATGATTCTCTCACCAATGAGCTAAGACTGGGTATTACTAGTGGACCATGCACACACTGGCTGCAATTTTAAACAGATCATTGACTTACAGTGGACATCGTTAACAGCACTAGATGACTCTAAGAACACCTTGGTGTGGAACTAAGTGACAATTTCTCTGGCTTACAGAAGGTACTAGCCACACAGCAAGAACAAACACCTTAACAATTGCTTCAAGAGCAGGACATAGAAATTTACCAGTAGCAAGGACTGCTAAAAGGCCCCCAGGAACAGAATAGATTCTTTAGTTTGTGCAAAAATTATTGACTGATGTAATTCCAAAACATGGCAATGAGATAGTTCACAGAAAGTTATTTATTTTGCTTACATAGAGCCTTCAGGCAAGTCAGCCTGAATATTTACACAGAACATTATCCAGAGATCAAGCAAGGTCAGGAGAATACCAGAGCAGCTACTAAACCTCTCTAACTGGCTAACATTGCTCAGAGAAGTGCTTTTAAATGTCAGCAAATTAACATCACAACTCAGATGAAGACGCTGTTTTGTCTGCTAAAAATTAGGTTCTAAGTGAAATCAGTGTATTGGTCACTGGTTGAGAGATGTTCTCAAACCACACACATTACACAAACTGTATTTCTGACCACTGACTGAAGTACTGGAAATACCCTTTCATCCTGACCTCATTTTTGGTGAAGAAATCCCTGCAAAATCTTGGTAATTTTTCTCACTTGAACATTTACATTTATATATGAGAGGACTCTGGATGTTTTTTAAAAAAAAACCTAACGCTTAAAAGCTGTTAGGTGTTACCTAACAACTTTTGGTGCACTTCACAAAACAGTGTAAGAAAAAAGATACTAAAAAAGGGAAAGCACAAACTTACAATTGTTACACCTGTCTGAAAAAGCTATAGAATACCATACATATAGAATATGTTAACAGATAATGAAAATGACTTGAAAAGAACCTAGATCCTACAAAATCTATATATATGTCTACTGCATCTCTAGTAAATGAAATTCTTAATTTCAGTTTTTTACATTATAGAATTGAAGACAGGACTTCATATCTTAAGTCTCCCACAACCCATCTGAAGTACAAAAGAACTAAGACTCTCTGGAACAACTGGAACAGATGTTACTTTTCCTAAAAACATCATAGCCATTCACTCTGCACGAACGTCCTATCACATCACATGCTGCGATCACATATGCTGTATTCATACATGATCATTTCTGAGGACAAACCAGAAGGAAAGTTTCTAGGACAGCACATTCCATGCTGGCTTTTGAAGTGGCCGAAAAGCCACATTGGTGTAATGTACACATGTAGATATCAAAGACAACAGGCCAAGACCACTTCTTGAAGTATTCAGTAAAAACTTTAAATTTTAAACTGCCCCCACGCTGTACGTGACCAAGCTGCCAGTGTTTTGCTATACAGGTTTCACCAAAACAAAAAATACTAAGAATTAGCCAAAATATTTGGTGAGAAGTACTAGGTTTCTTTGCTTTTCTGACTTTTTCAGTGGACTGGGCGTCTGTCCTTAGACTTGGGAATGGCTAATCCGGTGAGAACCAGGAAGCCAAAGGTTAAGGTTACGATGCAGCCAGTCACATCATCACCAAGGGGGGAAGGAGAAAGAGCAAATGTGAGCTTCTCTCATTCCCTTCATCCTTAGAAAATAATTACAAACTTCAGTCAAGACAACCCTCAGACACGCAAGGAGCAAAATAAAGTTATGGACAAAAATTTTTGAAATAACAGAATCTTTTGGATTTTGTTCACTGTTTCTCACGCTGTCAGCTGAGACAAACTTATTTGCAATTCTAGAATAAGCTGTAAAACTATTTACTCCAGTAGAAAACATGTATTTTTTTCAATGTACCTTTTGTCATCAAGAAAGCAGTCTAGCTTTTTTTTAGAAAAACTCTCTTTTACCAGATTAAGGATACACAGACTGTAGGCTTTGGACTGGTGAATCCAAGCTAAAGACAGTGTAACAGTCACAGTTAAAAGCAGAGAACCTGTTTATCTCTAATTGTTTCATGACCCTGCCACATGCAGGTGGAAAGCTAATTGCTGAATAGAAGTTTATTGGCTAGCTATAGAAGTTGGCTACTAACAATGGCAAATACATTAAAAGGTAGGCTAATTAGCAGATTAGAGAATGCAGAATTATCCACAGAGTAAAATAACTACCCTATCATCATGCAAGCAGACTTTTTATTCTGCATTTTGGGTTATTATCTCTTTCCTTTTGAAAGAAGCAATTGATCAATCATTGGATCACAGCTAATCTCATAATGAGTAACCCAGGATGTATTCTGGCACAGTCAACCCAGATGATTACCCTTCAGCTCCTGAAAGGAACATATAAAAAAGTCTGTGCTCCACAACTTCTTCATCTTTGTCCTGGGCTCATTCCTCAAATTTAAAAGGTTATAATCTCATTAAATACCAGAGAAGAGACGCTGATACATTCCTGCAGACTATGTGCTACACAGGTGACAAGATGAAGTTGAATTCAGCTGTAAACCACCAAGGGGACACCCAGAGGGTTTATCAATAACTAATCATTAGATATGCTTAGACATTACCATTGGTGGACTTACTGGTTTTATCTGTTCTGCCTTATGATAATATGTGTGGTCACCAAATTTCTGTATAAAACAGATTTCTGGAGAAAAAGCTCCTAGAAAAAAAAAAATCCTCAGTAATTAAAATTTTGATTGTCTTAATTTCTATGTAATTTTCCATAATTCCATAACTTTTTACACAACTCCAGAACTAAGCTACATGCACCAAAACTTTTGATATAAAATAATGACTGGCTATATAGTCTATCACACTAGATTTTGAATTTATATGAATGAAACATAAATTAATAAAACAAGTCAGCAGTGGAAATTTATTTCATGTAGTGTTCCAGGACCATCCCTGATTTTGCATTGGAAGTTAGGTCTTTGCTATTATTTTTTAAACTAATAATTGCAATTTTGGTAACCTGCCTGATCCATATGACTAAAATATACTTGTACTCCTAGATGACATAATTTCTTTAATGACGATACAAATGAAGACCTTCTCTCAAAAAAGTTTAAAAAGAGAGAAACCCTTAAGTTTGGACCCTGTGCTTGAAAACTAAGATGTTGTTACTGACACTAATAAAACACTAATCAAATTAATATTTGTACTGTGTATCTCATCAACAAATTACTACTATACAAGTATGCACAAAACTGTGAATTATTAAATTCTAATTCAAACTTCCTAACTATAATATGATTCAGGCAGAACACTAAAAATATCACAACAATTACAGTTGCAGAGACAAAAGCTCCCCACAAAACTGTCAGACAAATGCATACTCTACAAACTCAATACACTCAAACAGACATGCCGCATGTATGTTGAAGGCGTCAAGGATTTAGTTCCAGTGGACAGCCAAAGGGAAGTTCAAAATGGAATGATGCTTCTCTCCTCACTTTAGATTATTAAGCAACTATAAGAGGTTTAGCACTAGGAAATCACAGCCACTGGAGTTTCTGCAGATTTCAATGGGCTGAAGGTAAGATCTGTATTAACTCAGAGCAGGTTGATGAAAAATTATGGCTCACTCAGATCTTCAAACTGGCAAAAACATAAACATAACCAAATCTGGTTGTGTCACTTGAAGTACTCCCAGTCTGAAATATCACTGAAATAAAACCTACAGGACGCAAGTCAAATGGAACATATAAAAATGTCAAGAAAGTAATATGAAACTACGTAACCAAAACATGCTTGCTTATGTAACCTGCTCTACAGGAGTTATTAGAGAATATTTTAAGACCTTAAAGGAGTGTGCATTCATTCATGCTGAAAGTATTTAATGATACACTAAACATTATGCACTGAAATATCCCTACTCAAACCTTTTACGTTAAAGAGAATGGATATATATATACTAACAATATTACTGGGGTTTTAAAAATACCATAAGCACCTAGAGCTACATACAACTGTTATGCATATAGAATCCATTCATTTTATTCCGCACAAACACATACACAAGAATACATACATGTAAATAAAACTGATATCCTTATATATAGCTCCAACACTTCCCAAATCAGGCATTCTTAGTCACAGTGCACAAGAACAGAGGTAACTCAATAGCAATCTGATCAAATATTAAAAATATGATGAAGAATCCTTTAAAATATGAGTTACAATTAGGAATATAATCAAAGAGCACACAGTTCCTAAACATGAACTTCATACAACTCCCAGTTTTAAACACGGACTCAAGCAAAACTCAAAGCAACAGTTTAAGGGGAAAAAAAACCAACACAGACTGAAACAGAATCTATCCTACCTTTACGATTACTTATCACAGTTGTTAAAGCAATATCCTTGTTAAGGAAAGCCAACCTTTGCAAAATAAATAAAACAAAAGGTCATTAAGGAGTTCTAAGCATTACAGTCCTATAAAGTCAAAGGGCATCTGAAAGCACCCATCCCAGCCTCTGCCGTGCAGACACACCTAGGCAAGTGCTGACACAAACAGTAAAACAAACTCAAACTGAAGGCATGTAATGTGATTTTCGGCATAGAACACTGTAACTAGGGAGGCACCTCGGTGCTTTAAGTATTTCCAAGAACTACAGTGCCACAAAGGCATCATAAAGATCTGCGTGTGGTTTCAAATCCTCGCTATTTCTTAAAAGATACAAGAAATAAAGTCATTAAAGTGACATCAAGGCAAAGTTGCAGGGAAATAGAATTAGCACGAACTGTATTTAATAGTGTTTGTTTTCTCCGAGTTGTTTTCTGGGACATTTCACTTCTGCCGACTAAAATGTTACTAAAATGGTGGGTCCGGGGACACAAGGTCCGAGGCACACAAGGTGTGTTAAAATATTTGCAGCTACTTGCACAGCTAAGAAATGCTAGCTCCAGGAGCACATAAAACGGCTCTGAACAGAGGGGAGAAAACAAAAACGAAAACAAAACAAAACAAAAACAAAACCAAAAACAAACAAACAAACAAAAACAAACCAAAAAAAAAAAAAAAAAACAAGGAGACCTGAGGACAGGAGAGGAGAGGACTCTCAGTTCGGGAGTGGCCCCTTCAGCCACCGCCCTCACACAGGCAGGTGGGCGGGTGCCGTCCTAGACACACCGCATTACCACCTTCTTCTGCAGAGCTCCTCCTCCTCCACATCACTCTCCGGTACAGAGCCATCCACGACAGTCTCGTCGCTGTCCGTGTCGCTCCCAGAGCGCCCCATGGTGCGGCCGCTCCACTCCGTCGGCGCCTCCTCGGGCAGCCGCCCTCCCGCCTCAGCGGCGGCCGCCATCTTGTGGCCAGCCGCTCGGGTGGCGCCGGGCTCGGCGCGCTGCCAGCAGCGCGGTGCCGCCCGAACTCCGCGCTGTGGGTGCTCAGATGGGGCTCGCTCCTGCGAGCGTGTGCCCTTCTGACAGAGTCAGAAACGGTCATTGCCCAGAGAGTTACCGAGAGTGAGAAGGGGGTCGTGGAACAGTGTCTTGTCTTACTAGTGAATAAGGCCAGACAGCCTCAAAGCGGGGACTCTGAATGAAGGATTACTTGGGCTCTGACTGCATAGTCTGGGGTCTTAGAGTCATGGAATGTTAAGGGGTCAGAAGGGACCTTAAAATTCATCCAGGCTCAACCCCCTCTGCCATGGGCTACACTTCCCACTAGACCAGGTTGCTCGGCACCTTGTCCAACCTGGCTTTGAACAAAGCCAGCGTCGGAGCATCCACAGCCTCCCTGGGCAACCTGTTCCAATGTCTCGCACGAACTGTATTTAATAGTGTTTGTTTTCTCCGAGTTGTTTTCTGGGACATTTCACTTCTGCCGACTAAAATGTTACTAAAATGGTGGGTCCGGGGACACAAGGTCCGAGGCACACAAGGTGTGTTAAAATATTTGCAGCTACTTGCACAGCTAAGAAATGCTAGCTCCAGGAGCACATAAAACGGCTCTGAACAGAGGGGAGAAAACAAAAACGAAAACAAAACAAAAACAAAACCAAAAACAAACAAACAAACAAAAACAAACAAAAAAAAAAAAAAAAAAACAAGGAGAAGGGAGGACAGGAGAGGAGAGGACTCTCAGTTCGGGAGTGGCCCCTTCAGCCACCGCCCTCACACAGGCAGGTGGGCGGGTGCCGTCCTAGACACACCGCATTACCACCTTCTTCTGCAGAGCTCCTCCTCCTCCACATCACTCTCCGGTACAGAGCCATCCACGACAGTCTCGTCGCTGTCCGTGTCGCTCCCAGAGCGCCCCATGGTGCGGCCGCTCCACTCCGTCGGCGCCTCCTCGGGCAGCCGCCCTCCCGCCTCAGCGGCGGCCGCCATCTTGTGGCCAGCCGCTCGGGTGGCGCCGGGCTCGGCGCGCTGCCAGCAGCGCGGTGCCGCCCGAACTCCGCGCTGTGGGTGCTCAGATGGGGCTCGCTCCTGCAAGCGTGTGCCCTTCTGACGGTGGCACCTCAAGAGTCAGAAACGGTCATTGCCCAGAGAGTTACCGAGAGTGAGAAGGGGGTCGTGGAACAGTGTCTTGTCTTACTAGTGAATAAGGCCAGACAGCCTCAAAGCGGGGACTCTGAATGAAGGATTACTTGGGCTCTGACTGCATAGTCTGGGGTCTTAGAGTCATGGAATGTTAAGGGGTCAGAAGGGACCTTAAAATTCATCCAGGCTCAACCCCCTCTGCCATGGGCTACACTTCCCATTAGACCAGGTTGCTCGGCACCTTGTCCATCCTGGCTTCGAACAAAGCCAGGGTCGGAGCATCCACAGCCTCCCTGGGCAACCTGTTCCAATGTCTCACCACCCTCACAGGAACTCTTTCTTCCCAATATCTAACCTAAATTCCCTTTCTGACAATGTGTACCCATTGCTCCTTGTCCTATCACTACAGGCCCTGACAAAAAGTTCCTGTTGACTTGTTGGCTACTGCTGTGCCTCTTGTCACCCGGCTGGAGCCACAGGTGCTCTTTGTATGCAATGGATCAGTGCCAATTCACGGGCTCTTAAGTCGTGCAGTGAGAGATTTGGACCAGCTCAACCACCATCTCAAGAAATCCACCTACTTGGGAACAGTGAGCATGCAGAAACATTAGCATGAGAAACAAGAGAATCATTCAACCAAAAGGTAGAATACTAATTAATAAGAGAAATAAGTAACTTGTAACCAATGATCTGTGATTTATATGTTTGCTTTTATATATATATACACACGCACATATAGTGCAACGTTTCAAGGATTGGTGTGCTTTATTTGTGGAAAACTCCACCTTGTACCCTGCACAGAATAAACAATGTCTCCTTTCTAAACTGCGTTCTGTGTCTGTGTTTAGAGAGTTCCTAAACTCTGCCATGGTTAAGTCGCTGGTTCATGTGCTCACGAGTGGGAACAAGTTTGAGATAACCAAATTATTAGTTGACAGTATTTTCAGCATTTTCAGTAGCACTCTTCAGTGGTCGCCTGTCAATTGCAGCGACGTACTTGCAGAGACTACAGACCCCAAATCACCGTGGTGACGCCTGCTCCCAGCGACCTTGGTAAATTAGAATTTTTAGTATTTGCCAAATCATGTTTATGGAAAAACCGGAAAACAGAGCAGAAATACTAAAGGTCATCTTAAGTAATTTGTGAATTACATATATTTGTTGAAACTGTATGAATTGCTGTTTTGCTTTGTTTTAGTCATATGCATATGCAGTTACAGCAATTGATGCTCATATTAACAAAAAGTCCAGAAATCTCACTGCTAATACCTTACACTTTTCAGCTAGTGGTGAGATACTGAAAAAAAAAAAAAAAAAAAAAAAACCACTAAAGCAATCAGGGGAGATGGATATGCAGCAGTAAATTATTATGATATAGAAACATCATATTGAAGATGAGAATGAAAAATGTATTTACAGGTTAAAAGGGCTGGCACAATTTCATCACTCACAACTACTTTGGGTGGAGTTGTTCAGAAACCTTTTCATCAGCACTTCCTTTTCTGAGGTTCACATTAATGTTTCAGGGCACAATGCCATGAGGAGCTACTAGCAGTATTTCAGGTGAGGTGGCACATGTGAGATGCAGCCTGGGGAGAGCCGGGCGCGGACCACGCACGGCCAAACCCGTGTCAGGTCAGGTATTTATTTGTAGTGCAGCCGAGCGGCCCCCGACGCCCTGTAGTGCCGCTTTGCAGCCACGTCCCTCGGTGCCCAAGACAACCACGCAGTCACTAGGGATGGAAGGGACCTCTGGAGACCATCTAAAGATCACCTAGCACAGATTACACACGAACGCGTCCTGGTGGGTCTCTCAGAGCTTCCTATGCTTCATAAACCAAAACCTGCACTTCCTCTCTGGCCGAAAGCCACAAATGTATTACCGGGCCTTTCCCTTCCCCCGCACCGTTTCCCCAGGGAGGCAGGGGCACCGCTGCTTCCCACCAGCAGGAGCGGGAATGCCCTGGTTTCAGCGCCGCGGAAAGCGCGCTATCGCGGGCGCGCAGGGGCCGCGGCCCTGGCCCGGGCCCAGCCGAGCGGGGCTGCGGGGCGCGCCCGGAGCGCGGCCGGGGGCGGGCCCGGCAGGTGGTGGCAGCGCTCTCCAAGCCGCCCAATCAGAGGGCGCGGGGCGGGGAGCGCGGCACGCCATTGGCGGACGGCCCATGGCGCGATGGCGTGTTCGCCGCTCCTGATGGCGCGTGGGGCCGCGCGGCGCTCGCCGGGCCGTTGCCGCGGCGACCGGGCGGGTGACGCGCGCGGGGGCCCCGAGTGCCTGTGGGAAAAGCGGCGTCGCTGTCGCCTCACGGCCGGAGTGGCGGCGGCCGCGCTTCGGCGCCGCCCTGGGCGGCGTGCGGCGGGTGCCGTGTCGCTGTCCCGTTACCTGCCTGACGCCGTCGGGCTGCCCGCGTTTCGCCGGGGCCTGCGAGGCGGTGGGCTCCCCCTCCCGGGCAAAAAGCCCCTCTTGCGGTGTGCCAGGGTCTCTGTGCTGCCGGCGCTCCGGCTGAGCCCGCACGGGTTTTCCCTCGGCTGTAGTGCCGCCCGATTGCTGCGGGTACTGCTGAGTCAGATAGCCGGAGATGGGGAATTAGCGCTGATGGGATAGGCGGTGGTGCAGAGGATTGCTCTGAGGTTAGTGAGAGCTGTGTAACAAACCTTTAGCGTTTAAGAGGCAAGTCGTACTGTTACGTGGGTGGTAATTGCTGTAAACCATTACGTACAACCGGTCTAGTTTGCTTTTTACGCTATGGCTAATTTTTGAGGGGGTCACATTTGGGGTTTGTTCGTATTTTGCATTGTATTTGCAAAATACGTATTTGCATCTGTTTTTATTCCCAGAATGGATTGCTGTCTTTTCTAGCCTCGTAGAAGTTTTTGATTGAAAACAAAGGCAAACAGGATTTATAAAACATCCCTTTTGAGCCACCATTTTGAAACTCACTAGCACAGATGTTAAATTTCAGCTTTATATTTAATGTTATGTCTTGCTAATTCCAAGCTAGAAGTCAGTGTGTGTGCATAAATATTTTAAGCAGAAATATCAGCTGATGTTATGCACTGAATTTTTTTTACAGCACTGTAATGTGGAATCAGTGTGTGAAATCATCATTATTTTCTAGAAAAGTCAACTGCATAGTAGAAAGCATCCTGCGCTTTGGGCAAGTTAAATCAACACAAAAACTTTAAAGAATCTTTTTATATTAGGACTTAGTATGGTTCAGTTAACCCCAAGATGAGTGATGAGGCATCCTGTGTTTCAGGATAGCAGCAGTTAATAATACAAGTAAGATGCCATGGATCATTATTTTAATTAATTACTTAATTAATGCATTTCCCCCCCAATTAATTATGTGAAGCCATTTTACTTTTACCATTTTTGATTAGAAATGGGAAAAACAGTTTCTCAGTAAAAGATTCTGAAATTTTTTTAGCCATCCTAATTGGTTTTTGATTGTCAGATAATCATTCCAACTTGCTGAAATAGTTATATTAGCAGTATTACTAGGTTCAGGACTGGTGGAACTCTGTAGAGTCCTGTAGTAACTGCTAGTTATGATTTTCCTGAAATAGAGTGGTATTCAAAATTATTTGTGTTTTCAGAGTATGTTGTAATGGCTTTTATATTTTTTTTTTGGTGTGGTTTCAAAATCTTCAGTGCAGGTATTCTTCTGTCTGGGTTTTATTTCAGTTTTTCTAATTAAACCATACCTGCCATTGTGCTGAGGAGAAATGATAATACCGGTGTGGAACAGCTTTGCAAGAACACAAATTTACAGAACATAA